TTAAAATATCGAAGAATATCGAAATATATTCTAAAAGACGTTGAAAATTCCAGATTTTTTAGTCTTTTATTTCCTCAAGTCAGTTGTTTCTTCCAATTTCGCACACTAAATAGCAGAAAGTTTTCTTTGGGTTACTGCTGATTATAAGAGCACATGCACATTTTAAGTGACTATAATTTTTCAAAAAAGCCATGAATTGATTCAAAATTTTGCAGGTAGCTTTTTAATAGTAATAGGAATCTATAATAACAAATTCAACATGCTAGCATTGTTTATGTATATAGCCTATACATCCTTAAACGTCTGGAATGGTTTTTATTCATTTTCGCATCGATAAGAGGAAAAAGCTGATTGACAGTGGCACCGATCGATCCGTCGTTTAATCGCATTACATTATTACAGGGACATACGTCGCTCGATGCGAGAAGTAAATTTTAAAACGTCGTAAAACAAGCGGTATCGATTCGAAATCAACGAATGTTTCTCGTCCACCGGCCAGCACGAATAACGAGAGCTCAAAAACAAATTCGCAATCCTATCAACGTCAGTTAATGATAGTGCATATAAATAAAAAAGAAAAGTCGATGAATGCGCCGCGCAAAACGCAGACTCGTTTCAAAACAAAGAGAACAGCTGTTCGATGGAATGTCCATTCGCAGCGGTCGCACTTTCAGGTTTCTTATATGTACTTGCAATTAGACAAAAGGACAGGAGAATCGTTCGACAGCTTTGTTCCTCGAAGGATTTACCTAAAAGGAGACCGTATAAGATGTATGTATGCGTCAAAACGGAATGAGTAAGTATATGTGTAACGAGAGAAATAAGAAGAAATTGAACGCGGACCACGGGAAATGACCATGGGGATGAGAATGTTGGCGGTAACAAAAATTGCTTACCACTTGCGCAGGCGATGACATTTTCGTTTATGCCGTAATATTTCAATCCGAACCACGACACGTACTACCTACACGCGCTATTCTTTCCACTGTAGTACTGTCAATTGTTACTGGCTACTTGCTACACAATTATCACAGATCACAGCAGGCAGCTCCCCCGACGACACTGCATTACTTTACTTATCCCCGCGCCGAAGAACTACCGTTTCTCGTTTATTCGTTGGTCGATCTCTCGGCCTCGGTAAACGCTTGCGCCGGCCGAAATATCGTTGGCAGCGGTGAACGCGCAACGTTTTGGTTGGTAACTCATGTTAACGTACTTCGCAGTTGTATAGTTAAGTTTTAAAATGAGTGCACGAGTAGCGAAACGAATTTAAAAGTGATATTACCCATTTTTTGACACGTGCTTCTAAATTACGCCGTTCGCAAGTCATTCTGGCAGACAATAGTTTGAATTTACGCGATCCAATCACTCCCCGGTCGTCGTTACCTACGTTCCACGGGATCATTGAAATTTGGCGGCAGCATAACCTTGTGCCTATACCCCACTGAGAATGCGTATAAATGATTCTCTCTCGTACAGTATATTTTAATACTCTACTTTGAACATGAAGGAATTGGAAGAAATGAGCTGCGAGGTAATTCCAATCGAGTCGTTTATTTGTTTAATTCACTCGGGCATGCACGTTCAACGCATACATCCGATTCTCATACTACGCATTTCAGCAGCATTATCAACGACGATCATTTCGTTAATCCGACACCGATATTATCTTTATATAGGTACGTAGCGTCGTGGATATTCGACACTCTATAGTTACTCGTTTGAACAACGTGGAGGATGATAATAGACAGTCGAACGATTCTGCACCGTACAACGGTTTCAGCGATGCCAATGGGGGACTTTTGAGCGATGTAACGTACGCTTGGCTAAGTTACGGTTCTCATTTAATCGTTATCAATGTTAAAACTGGAGAATGTACCAGTTCTTGGACGTTCCGTGGCAAGGTCAGTTGTGTTTGTCAATTCCCTGTGCAAAACAGGGAATTGCCATTGCTCCTCGTTGGTTTGGACAACGAAGCGACCAGGATTAAAGATTCGATCGGTGTACTATGCGTCTTCGATTGCACCTCATCTCGTGTTTTAAGAGCTATAAAGGTAAATGTATCTCGTGATCGCACGGTTACGGCGAAGGGGTGAAAGGGATAAAATCAAATGTATCGTGTTCGCGTCTTTTTGTCGTACAGATGCCAGCTGGTATAGAACAAGTTTGCATCGTGTCCGGTGGCGCGGATTGGGAAGAATTCAATGATAAGAGGCCAGACAATATCCTTATGCAAATGGATGGTATAGCTTGTGTAGTGTTACGCAATCTCTGTCATCTCATGGTCGATCTTCGGAGATCCGTTTGGGAGACACCATCGGATGTATCCGCCACGATGGACGAGACTTCTCCCGCCGAGATTGAGTTCTTAACGTCGAAAGATACCTTTCGTAACACCGACAACAAACACATGGCGTTCAATCTGTTGAATCGACGTAAGCATAACTTTCTCTCGCTCTCGGTGCACTCGTTCGGCTCGAGTATACACGATCGTGTCTTCACGTGTTCACAGGTATAGAGAAGCACATCGGATTCAACAGAGAAGATTTAGAGTTCCTAGATGAGAAACTGACGAACACGATAATCAGTTCGACGAAAATCGGTTGTCTAATATCGGGGTGCTTAGGGAGAGTGATAGTATGGCAGAACGATGGTTCCGTCGGTTGGATCAGTATGCCCGTAGACGAGACGATGATAGTGACACATCTAACGTTGTTAGAACCGACGGACGATCCCAGACCGTTTTATTACTTGTGGGTCGTTCTCCAAGACGAATCGTCCAAGGTGCCTCCGCTTTTCCGAATGTTTGCCTTATTGTTCGAGCGAAAGTATTGCGACCGAGGGACTAATTTGTATTTCAATCTGGAAGCAGAGCCTAGCCTTAAGCTCGAATTCGAGTTAGAACCGAACGACAGAGTGGTCAGTTTGTCACCGATCGAAAGAGCGGCCAATCCGGATCAGACGGAGTCCGAGTCCAGGAGAGGCGAGGACAGTTTGCTCCTGATCTCGACCACGAACAGAACTCTGTTGTTCGATTTGAATCAATGGTACAAGGAGCAGATGCCTCAGGCGATCTCCGAGTGCAAGAATCCGAACAGCATACTGGCTTGCTACGACACGAAGCACAAACCTACGGGCGTGACGAGCGAGCAAATAATAAGCTGCGCCTACGTTCCTCGTACCCTGCAAGAGTTCGCTGGTAACAGTTTAAATTCTTTGGAGGAGTTGTTCTATCCTAATTCCCTGTCGCTCGAATGGGTAGAATTGAGCACGTCCAAACTAACGTTCTGGCTCTCGCGGGGAGTTCAAGCCGAGCTACTTCGCGAAATGGCACTCGCAGGACCCATCGTGTTGACACAGCCCACCGAGACGTTTCACAAATGCCTATCCGTCGGTTTGGTACCGTCCAACACGGAAGTTTCGTTCGCCAGCGACCTAAACACCCAGCGGGACATGTTGCTGTCGCTCTGCCTGGAGCAGCGTTGGGCGAGCTTTCTGATCCGTTGCGCCAGAGAATGGTCGGACGGGAGCGCTGCTTACATGTATCCGAGCTTCTTGAGATGGGGAATCCAGCGGGCGTCTTCGATAAAAATGATCGCTGATCGTCTGTGCGTGCCGTTATTCGATCAGTCGGGCAGCAACATCGGCGAGTCCGAGGTCAGGACCCTGAGATTCTGTTACCAACAATTGGAGTGTCTGTCGAACGTAGTGGCTAAGTTGCCGACCATCGAAACGGACACGCTGACGAAGCAACGAAGAGCGCTGAAACGAGTGTCTATGTATTTCCAAGTACTTCTCTGGTTTTACGACGTGGGCCTGTTACCCGAATCGCAGAATCTCGAGGAAGGTCCGTTGCCGATTTCTCTCGCGCTCAAGATACCGTATCCTTTCGAGAAGTTGTCCATGTTGTACAACGAGAGAAGAGAAGAGATCAAGGGAGACGCGACCAAGCCCGAGGACGGCGAACCGTTGTTCATAGACGAATTGATCGCGCGCGAGTGTCCCGCGCTGAATCTCCAGTGGGAGAGAGAAGCTGGGGACGCGGCCACCAACGGCTACTATCCTCCGTCTTCCCTGCAGTCTTTACTCAGGAGTTATCTGACGGATTGCGATCAAACGGAATCGAGCGAGATCGAATGCAAGCATCAAATCACCATATACCTTCTGATGGATTTAGCCATGCTGCTTCAAGGCTCGTATCCCGGCGTCGATCAGCTGATCAAGTATCCCTCGTCGTTCAAAATGAGTCCGAGCTTGATAAAACTGACTCAAGCGTTCTGGCTGTTGGATCACGAGGATTATCACGGTTTCTTGGACATGGTGACCGGCCAGTTGGTCAACGATTCCGACGTCAAGGATTGGCATCACAAGCTCGTGCTGAGAACGCTGATAAGACACGACCAGCACAAGCTGGCTCTGATGTATCTGCGCGTAAAGAAGCCACCGCTGTCGTCCCTTCAGGAACAAAGTACGCTGATCGATCTGTCCGTGGAGCACGGTTTGGTACAGTCCGCGTTTCACCGCAGACCCAGATCGCACTACGCCCAACTGCTGATGTGCTTCTTTCAAGCCTGCAAGAATTACGACAAGCTCGGGCACATCTTGCATCTGGCTCTGGATCCCGAGGAAGAAGACATGTTCGTCAAGTTCTTGGAAGATTCGAAATCCGAAGACGTCAGGCTGCTGTACTATTTGCAACGGTGCCGTTACATGGAAGCCAACAATGGAAGTTCGAACTGTTGGTTCAACGCTTTCGGCTCGAGGAACGTGCACCTGGACATGTTGAACGCGTACAACGCCACGTTGCCCGACGTCATGAAACGGTTCACCGCTAACACGGCGAAAGCGAGTCTAGACGCGGGCTCGGAACCCAGGTATCCCAGACCGATGACGCACTACAGAAGCTCTCAGAGGACGGCGAGTATCTACGAAACGGTGATCAGGAAAGCGAGGGAAACGTATGTCAGGAACGAGAAATCAGCGATTCCTTTTGTCACTGCTCCCTGCGCCACGTTAAGATCGAACAACGAGAGGATCGACGTGAACTGCGTAATGTCACCGAAAATATTGCGAGCCGGTAGGAAACGTACATTGGATCAAGTGACGCGGGACGAGAAAGACTCTGGGATCGTTACGCCGGACAGAGCGAAGCGCAGGAAGTTGTTGAACGACGATGAAGCGGCTATAAATGCAGCGTTCAATACGCCGTTGGTGAAGCGAAAAGTTTCCAGCAAGAGAGACGTTCAGGCTGAGACTCCGCATTCCATTCTGAAGATCAGACAACTTATAAGGAACTCGACGTCGCCCACCGTTGCCAGTCTACACGGAGAGACTTCGGAGGGTTTGAAAGTCGGTCGTCAGATACGATTCGACGTCAGCCAACAATCGAGGAAAAGTTCGCAGAGCGAAGCCAACGTCAACGAACAAGTTCCTAAGCTCGACGTCTCCAACGAGGCCAACGAGATGTTCGTCGGTCAGGTTAGCGACACGTCCATGATGGAGAGTACCGTCTTGTCGGAGAGTAGCTACACCTGCTCGAACGTGTTTCCTGCTCGTCCAAGGCCGAGCATCAGAAGATCTGACCATAGTGTCGATCAATCTCTAGCCAAGAGTACGCGGCCAGAGAGTTGTCCGCTCAATTCTCGTTCGAGCGGTTCACCGCTTACCGATTCGGAGAATTCCTCGAGAATGATATCGAAAACCGGAGGCAGGAGGTGTACGTCGTTGCTTTCGCCCTCGGCGTTCTATTCCACGGCGGTACTTTCTTCGGACAGTAGCTTCGAATCCGCCAGCTTGCCTCCGAAGCGCGAGATCAATTTCCGATTTTCGAAGACCCCTCAACGACAGGATACGAATCGCAATCACTTGCCTGCGTCGACTCCTAAGACGACGGGTCGCGGCTCCGAGGGATCGTGGCACGCTTCAAGGAAACCGATGGACGACGAGGAGAGGGAGGATACGATCCAAGAAACGTTTTACGCGGCTGGTGAGAAAGTTTCGGATAATTTACGTCGATCCAATGATTTTCAGTTTCACAGCAACGAGAAGTCGGGAGAAGATACAGAAATCAGGTATGGAAACGGGAAGGCGAAGACCTCGGAGGTAGTTGATACGGAAGGCGAGGACAACGAAGAAACGTTTGAGAGCCTCTCTAACGCTAATGAGAGTAGCTCCTATGGCAAGAAAGATGAAGAACGGCAACTGCGTCGCTGGTCACCTCCTTCGAACCTGGACGAAAAAGACGCGAGTTTAACGAACCGGCAGCATTTCGACATCACTGACGACGAATCTTCGAGCAGCAGCGAGGACAACGACGAGAACCATGAAGAGAAACAGAAACAAGAACAGGAAACGATTCCGTTAGAGACGGAAGGCATCTACGATGCCGCCAACATCACGGATGATGAATCAAATTCGAGTATAGTGATAGTCGAGGACGTGTTCGAGGAGGTAGAGGAATCGGTGGTATTAAAACCGGATCCTACGCTTAGCATTAGCGAAGGACGCGTGCGCACCGTGCGCAGTCTTCGGTCTAGGCTCTCCGTGAAGAAGGAGGAGGTCGTAGAACGTAGCGAGGCGAAAGAAGATTCGATAAGCCGCGACAACAACAACTCTACGGGTTACAGGAAGACGAGGAGGAACTCGGCTCGCGACACGCCGGACCGCACGGAGACCGTCGACACCTCTAACGTGGACTCTGGCTCTCCGAGAATGACCAGATCTCGAAGAGCAGTCTCTACGACGAAAGAGACGAAAGAGGCATCGCCTGCGAGTTCACCTGCAAAGGTTCCCGCGATCGTCACGAGATCGAGACGAGCGAGTTCTCTCGCGAAAGAGGTCCTGATCGCTTCGGCGTCCACCGCGGACGAGAGCATCAAACACGCGTCTTCTCTCGGTTCGAAGGAATCGCTTGTGCCCTCGTCTCCTAGAAGAGGCAGAGGTAAGGGATCGTTATCGGCGGCCAAGGACGCTCCCACGGAAACGAAAGACGAGCAAAGCGAGGTTCCAGTAAGGAGAATTACTAGGCACGCTGCTTCGGTGCAGAAAGAGCCGTCGGAGCCGGTGAAACCTTCAAAGGGGCGTAGTAGAACGCGATCGACTAGTTTAACGGCAGAGGGCGAAGACGGGAAGACACGGACAGAGGCCAAAGGCCCGAAAGCGAAACAGACCTCGAAGAAAACGAGTAGGTCGAGAAAAGAGTCCACATCGCACGAGGAAGATGTGAAGACGTCGGAGGAACCGAGTACTCTCAGGCCGTTGACGAGGCGTGGTAGTTCTATGCCTAAGGAAACGGTGAGCATCTCGAGAAGCGTGAGGACTCGAAGAGCCATGAGTGTAACGAAAGATGCGATTTCGGAAGAGGAGTTTACGCGAACTGTTCCCGATGCGAAAGTGAACAGTCCTGCCGCGAACACGCGCAGTCGTAGGTTGTCGATACAATCGATACCGGAGGAGCTCGAAGAAATCCTCAGCGTACCGACGAAGGAGAGACAAAAGGGGAAACCGAATCTCAGACAAAGAAGAGCCACGAGCGTGGAGTCGTCTCAAGCGGATACCAAAAAGAAGACGAGCACTCGTAGCAGAGGAGTACTGGCTGAAACGATAATGGAAGAGGAAGCGACGGAAGCCGAGATACCCGCGGACGATGAGCAGCTCGCCACCAGGAAAGTCTCCACGAAGAGGAAACGTGCGCTTTCGGAAACAACGGCGCAGGAATCGAATCAAGGGACCGCGTCGAAACCGAGGAGAACCAGGCAAACGAGACAAGAGTCCAAGGAAAAGGATGCCTCACAGTTCACGTTCTCGGACAGTCCGCCTTTGGATCAGAAAGGTAAACGGAGGAGGACTTTAGATGTTGAACAACGGGATTAGATTTCATCAGATTCGTTTTCTCAATCATCCACATCGATGAAATATTTTCAGTAATGCGGGAAAACGTGTTCTCGCCCCCTAATACAAGATCGAAGGCCACGGCTGCCGATCATCGTAGGTGGTTACTTTCCAATTAATTACCTCTCTCCTTCGTCAACACGCTTGCCTCTCTTCTATTTACTCTCTTGGTTCTCCGCGAGACGCTCGCCACTTTTAATCTACGAAACTCGCCTCACGCCACACTGCATTTCGCCGACACACTATTCGCTTGTTACTTCTGCACGAAAACGAATCACGAGACAATTAACGTTGAATTCTGTTCGCAATCAGGAAAATAATAAAGAAGTTCGTCCCAGTTCTGAGCGACGATGGACGACGGCAGCTGGAAGAGGACGGAAAGGAAATGAGAAATATGTTTAGGAGAACCACGAACACGTTACGTTCGTGCAACTGCACACCGTTTATAGAACCAAGTTTGTATTACCCAAGAGATCCAACAGTACGGTAAATTAAATGTAATATTTTTGCGGAATTTTATTTTTTTTTTCGAATTTTTTTCTTTTTCTCACACGTACACTGGGTCATCCGATTTCTAAACGATCTGCGACAGGTCAATTACAGTGATTTCATTCAGTTAGGTAGTATGTACAGTGGACAGTATGTAAGAACAAAAGGAACTTGGTCGCTTTTCGAATTATATATACATATATATATATGGTTTGATAGTGTCGAGTTAGGAAGTAGAATACGTGGGACCATTGATACGAAACTTGTCTCGTGTCTTAACGATGGAAGATCGCACGCGAAGAGAGGTGCAGACCTTATTTCTTATCGGTTTAATCGAGTACTGTACACTGTAATTGAAGTTAAAATGGCCATATCTTATCGACGAGCAAACCCGTATGATACATTTTTCTTGAAACTAACGTGTCTCGATTAGAGATCTATTATCTATAATCTATAAACTCGTTCGACCAAGTATACCCGCCTGTATACGTATTTTAAGTTCCCATTAGCCAAGTTTTCAAACACGTAGAATGTAGGCAGCTGTACAGAAAAGAACAAAAGAGGTCATCACACCCGTTTGCCGCAGGATACTTTCATCTCCGGTTCCTTCTCTTCTCTTCTCTTCTCTGTTTTCTACCGCACCGAGTTCACGGAGTGAATTTTATCGTCGCGGAAACATGTCGGTAGCAGGGTGTTTACGATCAAATACGTGTATCATAGTTTGTAAATAATTTATTAGTATATCCATCCGTGTATAGCTGTATTCATACACAATAAATGTAAAAAAGAATCAATATACACTATCGCTAGCGAATAAGTTTTCCAATCACCATAAATAAGTAATTATATAGTATTAAGCTTAAATACTGAAGCACTGTTAAATAATACTATGAGCGAGCCACGTACCGTCGACTGTAATTAGTCAAAATTGTAACACGATCGCGCGGCTTATTTAAAAAAAAAAAAAAAGAACGCGTGAACATCGTTCGATCCGTTTAAGCAGTATTATTTCTCAATAGCAGAATCGATCCTCTTTGGTTGTAAATTATATTCTGCACTCGCGCGTTTTAAATAATTAATAATAAGTAGTAGCAGCAGCTCGTATGAGAAAAATTTCAAGTTAGATTCGTAAATCTACAATTGATTCAGAGAGCGTGTATAGCTTCAATTACATGATTTGATATTCAGTCTGAATGGTCTCGATCTCTTTGTACATTATTGTTCTCTTATTCGATACGATTATACTAGATGCGTATCTGTTCCTACGTAATCTTAACTGTTGATTGTCTTATCGTCCGTCTATTCTCTCGTATAAAAAGGTGTCCGAGAAAAGAAGGCAGATACAATATAGAGGACGGCGCGATCACTTGTCCGCCGATTCCTTAACATCGTACTCTTTCGAAAGGCACATCGACATTTTCCATTATTGCTTTCTACTATATCTTTGTAAACAGAAGATTCGTGTCCATCTTTGAATTACAGAACCTACCGCGTAAATTTACTCTCTCTCATGGCAACGGAAATATTTTTTCGAAAAATACTTGCTCTGAAAAAAGATTTAGTTGTCTAAACGTACTACTGCTGTTTACAGCTGTCTTTCACTCGTCGCTTATGCTTCTCCTCGTGAACTTGGGACGGTGATTGCATTTGATTTCTTCGTTGTCCTTGTATAGGCATGTAACAGGGAACATCGTCGTTCATAAGCTCCTGAGGCGGCGTGGGCAACACGTACGTAGGGCTCACGGTGCTGCTCGAGCTGCTCGACGTATTCCTGTAGATATTCCCGTTGTACGTAGGGTCGATGATCGCGGCTACGTTCCGTACTTCTTTCACGTTCTCCGCGGAATCGTCAAGCACTTGTATCTCCTCGGGATCGGAATAGCCGACACTTTGCTGCATCCTGCCTTTCCCGTGCGCGCTCTTCAGATCCAATTTGTCGGGTCGTTGAGGCTTCTCCGCGTGACCCTGTTCCTCCGAACCTTGAAGCTGCTGCTGCCGCTCCAACTTCCTCTGCCTCGCTCTCTGCCTGGCTTTCCTGATCTTTGCACGCTCCTTCTCCTGAAGCATCCGCGCCAATTCGGCATCCTGCGCCTCCATCGCGATCTTCTCATCCATGAGCAATTGCTCGTTTACCGGACCGTCCTGCCTGTCTATACCGTTCGCCTCCTCTTCTTGCTGCAGCTTCCTAGCTAGTTCCTTCGTCCCGCGAACAAACAGAAATTAGAAACCCGCGCATAAAGAGTCGATGCATCCATCAAAGAGTCGATTGAACTTCGAGTACCTCGTCTTTTTCTTGTTGAACGTGTCGTTCCAGTTCAAGCTGAACCGCCTCGTCGTCCAGCCTCAATTGCAGCCTCATTTGCTCCTGCAGCTCCCTTTCCCTCTGCCTCTCTTCACGCTCGAGGGACAGAGCGATCTGTCTGGCGACCAAGGCATCCCTCTCCTCTCTGAAAATACATGTTCCAATCAAAACGGAATCACCGTGAAACAAGTGTGGAAACACTTACTGCTCTTGAACGTAACTCTGGTATCTGAGCATCTCCAATTCCTGTTCGACTTTCGCCGTCGGCAAATCTTCTCGAAGTTGCGCGTTACGCACTTTGTTCCCAGTGTAATGTTCCTTAACTGGATTTTATTCAATATTTTATTAACAAAACCGCGGACAATACTCACGCAATAAGGTATCATATTCTTACTTTCTTCGTCCTGCAAACGATACGCGAGTGCTCCGTCTTCGTGTACCAGCCATTCGCGACAAACTACGTACAATGTACAACAATTGTCAGTCGTCGAGAGGAAATCATTAGGAATGCCAGTCTAATGAGTAATCCTGATCAGGAATGACAGTAGACGTTCGTAAAAAAAGGAATGCTTCATTTACCTTCGTTTACGCGGCCTGCCTTTGGCAGCGTGTCCGAGCTGAGCACGGATTTCGCCATTTCTCACGCCGATCCACCGTCTCCTTCGGGGATACTCCTTTTCAGATGAGACTTTCTTATTTACGACCACCTTACGGACGGGCACGCGTTATTTTCTCTCCATCTTGAACAGCACTGAACAGCAGGGCTCGGATATTTTATCCCGCGGCCGGAAAGTGGGGACGACGCGACCATGGTGGGGACCAATAGTTGGTGGGGGTATGCAGTGATTTTCACGGTAGCGCTGCGGAGAGCTTCGCGAACGCGCATGAGCACGCATGAGGGGAATAGTAGTGGGGATCGAAATACGGGCGAAAAAGAGGGGAAGCGAACCGTGCGGGATAAAATATCCGAGCCCTGCTGAACAGCACTGAATAAAACCGTGAGTACGCGTCGTACGTGTATGGAAGGCGCGTTGCACGCACACATCCATTCCCGACACACTTTCTTTCACGGCTTCATTGAACGTATCCAGAAAGATATCCAATGACAGTGACTGCTACGCGTTCTAAGCGAGACGTCCGATTTCAACGATTTCGTTGACTCCTCGCTCGCGAACTCGTTGCCAAAGGGAAGGAAAGTATTTCCCGAAATGTGGAGCGGCAATTCCCATCGTCCAGATACAAATACACATTCCTATTGCATTTCTGTGTTAATTACCACTGATGGACAAGGATGGATCGAAATACGTCGTCTCTCAGTAAACCTGTTCCTTTAACATCTCTATATATATCTTTACTTTCAACGAGCCACTTTCCACGAGCAAATAATTGATAAAATGCTAAGTGAACTTGTCACTGATCGTTTGTATATAGTTGGTTCTTTCCGCGATACGTATAACGCGTACATATCAGCAGAGATTTTCTCTTTGGTATCAGATTTCATAAAATAAAACTAGATCTTTCTGCGTTGTTCTTGGAGGTTAGACATATGGATCACAGATGTTGACGTATATAGAACAGTGATATTCCGAGACGAGTAATTGATAATATGTAATTCAACATGATGAGTACAACGGGAATTAGAGAAGCGTTAGCTACGACAGCTTCGATCTGTCAGGTGTTTCAATTTTTAGCTGGTGTGTAAGTAAACAATGCGAGCCAGATGTTTGATTCGTTGAACAATTTCGAATGGTCGTTGGTACACGAAATCTTTAGACAGAATTCGTGATCTGTAGAGCAATGAGAAAATGATTGAGCAATGTGTTTTAGGCTGGTATGCAGAAAGATCGTTAAAAGTGGGACGACAGGGAATAGCTCGGCATTGGCATTTGTAACATGTTATACTTCGTAAGTGTCGCATTCGCCACAGTCCCTCGATTCTAATACCTGCGTCCGTTGTTTCATTTGGTCGTCATTAGTTTCTCAAATGTTCGTCCAACGTTTGCAATTAGCAGTACTCGTATGATATGTTACAGATGTCTCATGTGGATGAAATACGGTATGCTTATAGGAGATCAGTTTATACTGTTAGTGAACTTTTTTGGAGCAACGCTCCAAGCATGTTACGTTTATGTATTTATCTTGTACAGTGTAAAAAAGAACAAGATTATAAAGCAAATGATCGCGGCTACGTGCTTCCTCGCGACCGTGTACCTTTACAGTTTTTACGAGGAAGACAAGCTGCAAGCTGAGAGATACGTTGGTTTTCTTAGCTGTACAGTAACAGTATTATTTTTTGCATCTCCTTTAACAACGATGGTAAGTTTCTCTGACTCTTTCGAAGCGCGTTCTGCTCTTGAATTAAGCGAAATATTTTCTAGGCACTGGTAATCAAATCTAAAAATACAGAGACTTTGCCGTTCCCCATTATCATGACTTCGCTGATAGTTTCTTGTCAGTGGTTCGCGTACGGCTGCCTTCTGAACGATCGTTTTATACAAATACCGAATTTCTTAGGCTGCGTATTGTCCGCGTTTCAACTGTGTTTCTTTATAATTTTCCGTGATGACCAATCTATCAGTACTCATAATCAGCTGGTATGATACAAAATTGCAGGGTATTTAATCTACACGAAAGCTTGCGAGCTTATACGTTTGTTAAGTGTATCGATGTTTATCATTCAAAACGCAATCTGTACTTTATTAAACAGAAATATATTTTTCAAACAATTAAGGATCAGTGTCGTGAGATTCGAGGAATTTCAGTCATAGCGTCAGCCGTTGAAGAATGGTGAAATTCAAGTTTCAATTAGAAGATTTGAGAAATTACTTTCTCACCATTCCGTCAACGACCCGACGACTGGGGTATCGCCGTAGAACACGGATTATTCCGACTCTCGATTCCCATGCTAAAACATATTTTCCTCTGCGAAGAATCGAAAGAAAAGTATCGTTCTAGATTCTAACGACGAGCGCGTCCGCCCCGCCCGTATGCTTCGATGGTTGCCAAGCAACGCCGGCTGCCCGTGGCGGCCATCATGAATTCCTGCGCAGATCGCACGCGCACGCGTCGCCATTTTACGGACCAGGAATTTGCACGTAGTTTACGATCTTTAAACGTAGTGATCTATGTTCAACGCTGATCACGACTCTGACACGTCTGCACCAGAAAATTCCCTACGCGTTGAAATAAGGAGCGAACAAATAGTGCAACACGTATGTATGTTAATTCTTTTAATTAACGATTAACATTATTGCGTTTACATAAATTAAGTATTACTCAAATAAATAAGAGCGTGAATCGCGCGAAACGATCGTGCTCGTGGTCACGTTAGTAATTGGCTTGAACAGCACAGTGGTTATGCGTGTTTCGAATTAATCCGAGGAAATACGATGGTACACGATACGCTCAACGAGATCGTCGCCTCGAGGCGTTGAATAAAAATTGCGATTTATCAATGGTCCAGCAAAGCGAGACAACGCATTCAAAGCATCGCGGCATCTGTAAATCGTTTGAAAATGTTTGGAATTTTCCAGACCCATTGAACTTCCGGGATGCGGGCCAGTTGGCAGCATTGCCGCTAGAGAGCCTCGAGGAGATCAGGAGGGCAGAGAGAAAGAGGTGCAGTGTTGCGTGACTGACTGCGAGATCGAGCGTGTGTGTTTGTTGTGTTGTACGAAACTTTTGTCCTCGTTTTTGGGAAGAAAGAGTTCGGTTTTATATTTGAGAGGAGACGCTGCACGTTTGGAAGAAGAGAATCATGTCGTCGTACATCCAGGTTGCCGAGGATGAGGGCGACGAGCCGATCGAATTGCCGACCGAGGACGATAGCACGCTCTTATTGACTACCGTAACCGCCCAGTTTCCCGGAACGTGCGGCCTCAAATATCGAAATCCTGAGTCTCGGACGATGCGTGGCATACGTCTCGTTGACGGACGGCTTCATCCACCCGAAAATGGATGGGGCAAGGCGATTTACTTTTGTGTCTTTCCAAAAGGTACTTATTTCATAGCAAATCGTGTCCCCTTTCTTCCGCTCACCCTCTCCACCTTCTGTCTCTCACCCCTCCATTCGGACACTTCTCCTTCCCCAGAAGATTCTATATAGTACTAACTAACGCCACGATACAAGATCAGAAATATGCCATCCTCTTTTTCTTCCTCTATATCGATTCACCCGAATTTAAAATCGTCCAACGTTCGATCACCGCGTCGTTTAATTAGATTTTTACGATACTTTCTTCCCCTGCTTTTCCGATACCCGTTCGATTATTCTATTTTCGCCCTCGCCTAACACGACGCCTCTGATATCTCATCGATTCGTAGCTAGAAATTTTCCTACCTCTTCGGGATGTTCGAACTCTATTACCGTTTACCGTACCACAATCGTTCTTACTCATACGTCTTCCCTTCTTTTTCTTAGTCTTCTTTTTCTGCTTTTTTTTTGTTTCTTGAAGTCCAGTACATGTGTTTGTGTTCATTATGCTGAACTTTTTTTTTATTTCCAAAAGAGATTACGATGCACGATGGAGTCTGTCCCGTCTAATTCGAATGGAACGAACTTAATCGTTCACAAGAGGTGTTTAACATAAGCACATGTTAACATTCGAGTCACGGATCTTTAAATAAGTTTGCATAACGATTTTAACTTTCAATTTCAATAGCGTCTATAAATGTTCGCCTATTTATAACGGCTAAAATTTGTTTACATCCACGCGAATTTGCGTGCGCGCATATCACGTGCATAAACGTGAACCTGAGCCTATTTAATAAAAATATAACAATGTAACTTATAATGATACACGCATACACAGAACGACACAAGCTCTACACTTCTATGTCACACGAATTTTTTCATACTGTTTGTTCGATCGATACTATTATAATTTGTACTGGATTTNTATTTTTTTTTTTTTTATTATTATTATCGTTATCTCACTTTATTTTATATTTTTTTCTCGTGATCACGGTTATTTTTCTCTGTTATCAGTTCATGTATCAATCTTAAATATGAATTAAATTGTTTTCGAAAAAGGTTCTAGTTAAATGAAAAAAAAGTTAGTAGACATGAACACTTATATCTTTTCAGAGAACAAACGTAAATCTGATGACAATTTGGAAAATTCCACAGCTAAGACTAAAAGAATGGAAACAAAGTTGCGTTGCACAGACTTGATCGTACTTGGTTTACCATGGAAAACAACCGAGCAGAACTTGCGAGAGTATTTCGAAACGTTCGGCGAAGTACTTATGGCACAGGTGAGCCTCTACTTGTATCCGAGCAGAAAGAATTCCTAACTAATAATAATTCCTACCGTGATTCTGTCCCACCGAAACTGGTTGGTTTCGACACGTCTAACTTGAACGTGAATGTTGTTGCAGGTTAAGAAAGATGCGAAATCTGGACAGAGCAAAGGGTTCGGCTTTATTAGATTTGGAAGTTACGAATCGCAATTGAGATGTCTTGCTCAGCGACACATGATTGATGGTCGATGGTGCGACGTCAAGGTTCCCAACAGTAAGGTAAGAGCATCGTTACGTTCATTGACCAACACTCGTTGTTTCTCGCATATTCTCCGGTAGGCTGGTTAACTAGTTAACAGTTGTTTAAGATCGAAATACATGTATAGAGCATCGGCGCCTAGATCTGTACATGGGTTTAGCGACGTGCATTTATCGATGTTCCATTCGCTCGCTTTGTACGTTCCCTTATCGCTGAACTAGACAGATCATTGGAAGGAGAAATTTCATGGCCAGAATCGAGAGAATTAAAGTATCGTCGAGTCAATAATAACCGTGAACCAACGCTTTTACGCGAACGAAAGACCGGTCAGTAGTCTTGAACGTTTCCATCTTGTACAGATCTACGTTGCGCTCGATGAGATATTGATCGTACTACAAAACGACAGCGCGAATTATAAGAATAATCACCAACGCGGACACGATGATATATAGATTGCTTTAGAAATTCTCCTTTCTATTCCGGATCCGAAGTCGAGAACGCTGATCGAGGCGCGATTGATTTCCGCTTACAATCTCTGAATGTTATCTTCTATGTATGGCACATATCTTGTTGAGAAGAACGTGTACTGTGTGGTATAAATAGGTGAATGTGTAGTCCGATTTATAATGGCAAATGTGCGTGAATGTCCACGTGGGTGTCGTAGTACGATGCAGAGAGTGTGTGACACTTCGAGAAGGGGTATGGTTGCGTGATCTTGTAAATAACATTTGGTATGTTTGTGCTCCCCTTATAGTAGCGTGCAATTTTTTCTCGAGAATGCTATGGCAAACAGGGTGTGCACTACTTTCAGACATTTTTTTTTTCTTTTCTCGGATAAACGAACGATTTGACGTGATATACGCTTGATCGACCTATGAGGAAAAAAAAGAAGGAGCTCGAAGCGAATCCGGTTCTTTGATACGCGTGAATTTTTTAATGTATTGCTCGTAAACGTACGTTGTCTCACCTCTGAGACGAGATCCCTTTTTCCGCGTCTAAATAAGAAGAAGAGGAGGTATGCTTTATATTGGGAGTGAACACGATAAACATTGTAACGAGTATGGCTTGCGTGACACGGCGTGCGTGCAATCGATGGTGGTTTCCATTCAGATGCGGTGTGCAACGAATTGTCACGTCCTTTGCGGTGAGAGGCATAGCATCCGAGTCCGGTGGATTAGCATTATAGCGAGAGTATCTCTCGTCCGAGATCATTGTTCTTCCGCGGTATAACGATTTGACGAATAGTTGTGAAATGGTAACCGACGGACTGTACGGGTACGTAGAGATGAATGACAAAGATCCTTTCACGGCTCGTTGTTACGCGTCGGTCTCGAGATTTTAACGATCGGTATGTGGTATGGATACGTTTGAAGAAAGAAAAGAAAAAGGAAAAACTAAGAAACATGTATGTTAACAGAGTGCGATAAATGAGAGCGAGTGTGTACATGTGTGTTCGATTGAACCCAATTATAATAGAAATAAAAATTGTATGTGATTGTCGAGGGCTTGGTGTATCTGGTTGCAGAATATTGATGGCTTAATGATGGCTCGTCAGTATGATACGAGCAAGCACAATGAATGCTACCGCCCTATACCGGTTCACACGCCGAATAGTCGACGGGTACCTGGGGCGAAACCGTATATCAACTTAAACACGTCCGAAGCAGCTAACACGCCTAGGTACGATTCGGAGTACGATTACAAAACCACCCACTACCCGTCGTACCCTCCTAATTATCCGTACGACGATAACAATAAGTACAAGTACGACGGCCAGGCGTACAACAACGCGTACGAGAAACCGGCCGCCGGTTACCCGTCCTACGAGGATCCCGGGTACGACGCGCGCAATTACATGGCTCAGCACGCGACCGCTCCACCACCGAATCCGACCGCCGCATATCCGTCCGACCCAGAATACGCAAGATACAACTACGAAGGACGCCCCGCCGTGTACCCGGTGATGGAGAATCCGGACTACACGGAGAAAGCCAGATACAATTACGGTTACGATCGTAACTATTACGAGGCGGACGGTCGTTACGCGTCCCCGGACTGTAGGTACGCGCTGGACGTCCGATATCCGGACACCAGACACGCGGACAATCGGATACCGGCCGACAGTAGAGAGGCCGGCGAGTGTCGATATCCGGTGGACAATCGCGACATGGAGAGGAGGTACGCGGTGGACGGTAACAGAGATCCGGACGGTAGATATGCGGTGGAGAATAGAGAAGTGGACGCCAGGTATCCGGCCGACGGAAAGGAAGTCGACGCCAGGTTCGCGGACACGTCAAGATACCCGGCTAAAGAGAATTATTACGATCGTTATTACAAGCACCGTCCATCGAGGGATCACCACGTCTCGGACACGTCAAGATACTGATGAGTCTTGTTACTATCGTTCAATATCACACCGTCACGATTCAACGGGAATGCGAATTTTCTTTTTATTTCTTTTATTTTTTCCCTCTCGTTTCTGTTCTGTCGTTGGCTGCATCGATCGATGATCTTGCAAATAAATTTTGTACATATTTCGTTCTCCGCTTGTTCGCCGGGCGTGGATACAACGGAGACACGACGAATGTATTCCCATTGATTCGCGATCTCTGTTGCAAAATAGTAAGACAAAAAAAGAAAAAATTACGTTGTCTAATAATTAGCATAGCTTCGAAATAACTGTCTACATCTTATCATCTATTATTGTGCTTATTCAATTTAAGATAATTGTAATATACGTAATATGGCATGAAATTTTACATCGAACACACGTACACCCATACACAACACACGTACACACACATTTGAGAAAGACGACATTGTACAGAATTTTGTGCATGGATTTTAAAGAGGCCGTAGTGCTTAAGTGTTATTATACATATTCGTAAAAAAAGAAGTGTACGTTGATTAGGCGAAACCTCTTTTCCGAGATCGATAATATAGACATGTGTATCAAAAAGATTTTCTATAAAACTTGACGTCGGTGCAAAGACGAATATCTTTTGCTCTATATGCTTCCGGTTTGACCGTTTAAAGCTCGGCTCGATTCTCAAACGATTTTGAATGCACCAAACGTATGCGCTGTACGCAAGTTTTAATGGATAAAAGAGAAACATAAAAAAAAAACCATTGTGAAAACCTGTTGTACACGATTGATTGATTGTGCGTTTGTGCGTAGGAGGGAATGATTCAGCAAGTACCCTGCAAGGTATTCGTGGGACGCTGTACGGAAGACCTTACCGCTGACGATCTGCGCGACTATTTCTCCAAATACGGCGAAGTGACGGACGTGTTCATCCCAAAACCTTTCCGTGCATTTTCATTTGTTACTTTCTTAGATCCCGAGGTAGCCCAGTCACTGTGCGGCGAGGATCACATTATCAAGGGCGTCTCGGTGCACGTGTCGAACGCCGCGCCGAAGTCCGAGGGGAACAATAAGAATTTCAATAACCAAGTGAACTCGAACATGCGGAGGGGCGCGCCGGGCCCCGTCGAGAATAACGTGCAGGGAAACTATCAGGGGAACCGGTACATGGGTCACTCAGGCAACAACATGGGCCCGAACGGATGGAACAATCCAGGTAACCGCGGCAACCTGGACATGCCGAATCTCCAGGCGCTCGGTATCACCGGGCAGAATAACGGCGGCGGCGGCGGTGGCGGTATGTCGAATCCGTTGGCGATGGGTGGGCTGAACCTGTCCGCGTTACCGGTCAACCCGGCCCTGGTTGCGGCCGCGCTTAACCAAGCATCTTGGGGCCTGATCGGTAACTTGCAGAATCAGGGAAACGATCAGGGGTATTCGAACCAGCCTGGCCCACCTGGTCAGCCGCCCTCCGGCAACAATAGTATCGGTAACAGTGGCAACTCTGGTTTTCTCAGTTGGATGAATCAGGGTGGCGGTGATGGTAATACTGGCAATCCTGGAACAGGTGGTCCAGGCCCGAATAATCCGAACGCGTCCCAAGGTGCTTGGCAGAACCATCCCGGGCAGCGTGATCAGAAATCGAACACCTTTCTCAAGTACGAATAAAGAGGAGGACGACGGGGTGTCCCCACGGGGTACAGGCGATTGGAAACCGGCGAATCCGTTCCTTTGATCCTGACGAGAGAGTACACCTTTGAACCAGAGACTGGTCTACAGAGAGAAAGTGAGAGAGTCTAATAGGCAAGTGTCGTGTGTAGGTACAAATTTAATCTTTTTTTTTTTCTTCCTTTTTTGGTGTTTTTATTTTTCCATTCAGAGAAAGAACCAAAGCCTCTGTCCGAACGAAGAGGAACGGGTTCTAACGATAAGTGTTCCCGTTCGTTCCACACACGCGCGTGCAACGAGCGGGAACACGGAGAGAGAGAGAGAGAGAGAGAGAGAGAGAGAGAGAGATGGAGAGCGAGAGAAAACGAGAGAAAGAGAGAGAAAGAACGAGCGAGCGAGAGAGTGTGAGAGAGAGAGAGAAATAGGATATCGTTTCTGTTCGCACTCGATTTCACTCGACCATGATTACGATACCATGTATGATATAAAGTAGTGTGGAGAATGTTTTTTTTTTCGTCTTTTTGCACTTGACAAACGATAGTACGTATTTCTAATCCTATATCTTTCACTTTCTTACCGGCGCTTATCCAGATATACATATTATATATACATATATATATTAGCACAATATTCCTCAAGTGCGTGTTTTAGAGAGAGAGAGAAAGAGAACGGATAGCTTCGATCATCTGAACCTGCATATTAATCGTATGATCTCATTTCAAGCGTGCGGTCTATCCAACACACGAGTTGAAATTTGCTGTGTCAAGATAATGATGGTGAGATATATATATATAGACACATACACGCATACATATATATGATCTATGCGATGATTGTGAATGTGTAGTAGAAGAAAAACGAAATTTACTGTAGCGGAGTACGTATATATGTGCTTTTGTTTATTTAAAAACTAAAAGTTTCGTACCGTGTGTTTAAATGTGTAACTGAGAATTATTAACAGGGACTAAGCGTACGGTGAGTTTCGTTAGAGTCTCTACGAACGCGAGAATTCGCAGAGCTCTTCGAGTGTTGAGTGTGATCATCCCTGTATCGGTGGTACGTTCATTTTAATCGAATCATTGCCAATGATATAAATCTGTCTGAATCTTACGTCTGTGATCGACCGAGACGTTCATTCACGAAAACATATTCGCGAGAAATAGCTCTCTCTCGTTTCTGTCGAATCGATTGCATAATATTTTCTCTGCCTGAACGGCAACGACTTTCGGGTATCGAAGTTTAATAGTTTGGAAACTCCTTTCCAATCACGTTTCCCTGCATTTACTTTGAATCTCTTGTAATCTCAATTACAAGCAAATCGGGAGCATACGTACGCGACGTATGCATCGACGTAAAACGTGAATTGACAATGACAAGACATGAAATTTCGTAGGACCGTTTTTAATGTACGTTTCGTGTGAGCAATCGAGAATGCGTGGGAGAAACGGACAAGTGTGAAAATTGCAGAGTTGCATACAGATTGATCGCAGCTACCCGACATACGAGATTGCCATTTAATTAATCCTTCGAAACGTTTCGCCTTAAGAAAACGGGGAGTTACAAGCGAAAGAGGGAAAAACAGTAAGCGCGTGCACGCGTACGATTCATGTGAGAGAAATGTGTTTTACAATTTGGTATGATAGGGTGCGTAAAGAAGAAAGACAATTTTTTGTCGATTGACTGCGTGTGAAAGGTGGCATTTGCAATACTGTCCATTCATTTTACGGAGAAGAGAAAAGTAAAGACGAATTTCACTCACGTTGCACGTTGAATCGTAGTCAATAACTCTTGCATAAAGGAGATGAATGCAGAGAGCTGGAGAAGAAGAAGAAAAGGAAGCGTAGCTAAAGCACACTAACTGTGCGCTGCATTGAAATTAATCAAGGTGGAATATTTTCAGACTAACAGTTAACAGTACACGTTAAGGGAATATACGAGCGGATTCTGACACACATACACACATACCTTCTGTACGTTTTATTTCGAGCGGGTGAGCGCGAACGTCCGAGAGACAAGCGTCACCGATAAGCAGCAGTCTCGATTTTGTTGATCGCGTTTGCAAACACGCGCAAAACGCGCACGTGAAAAATTGCCCGTGTGTCGCAACGGATTCTCGCGTCAGCCTGCTTTTATCGTAGATACATATATCTCTTGACGTGCATACGATTTTACTGATCATTGCTCCTTTAGCCGATTTGATCTTAAACGCATTATGCTTATGACGAGAATATGTAACGAAGCGTTCTGCGAACGTTTGATCAAGTCGAATGTGTGTGTTACGAACCTGGACGAATGATCGTCATTCATAAGAGGCAATCGAGGAGGTGATCATGCGGTTAGGTAACTCGGCCGGGTGATTAGCATCATGCGATTTGATCAAATATTTGAGAATCGATCGGATTCTCATCCGCGCTTGTTAGGACTGTAAAACGACGATCGTTCTTATCGCGTAGTTCATGAATCGTCGTTTCTTCTTCTTCGCTTTGATTTAAACGAACGGTGATTACTATTGTTATCATTATAATCGACGATCAATAGATTGTTTTACCTCGACGTATCTCTCTGTGTGCGTGCATGGCGGTCGAATGTATTTGTTAATGGTCGTCTCAGAACTACAGGCATGAAAGTTTAGTCGTGAAAATGATTCTTGCTGTTATTACGATGACGGGCATAGTCGTCAGTCTCGATGTACATGCATCTGATGGACGATAAAATGAGAGAGAAAAAAAAAGAAAGAAACAAACGAAAATGATAGAGAGAACAAAATAAACCGCGTGTTAATAATGATGAGTGAGTTATGTTAATAATTGTGAGGCAAGAGCGGTAATTAATTGTGAAAAAAGAAAACGAGAAAAAATAGTAATATTTTATGGATGGGACACAGTCGTTTACCGAATGCCTGAATATATACTTTATAGATAAATATATATATAGATATATACGCATATATAGATATATATATATATGTTTATTGAAAATCCAGAATGTTTATACATAATGTAAAGAGAAACATTGATGGAAAAAACGGGCGTCAAAAATTGATTGACGCTGTACTGTAAATGATAACCGAATATACAAAGACTGTAGTTTAAGACAACTTTTAACAGACATTAGAACCGTTTCTAGCTGATTATATTATATAGCCGACCGATCTGTTTCAAATCGTTCGCTTTTATCTCATCTGTCGGAAATAGTCGGTTTATATTCTCTCGTTGTCCTTTTGCTTAAAAGAAAAAAAAAGAAAGAGGAGACGATGGCAACGACATCCCGAGCAGTTGGCTCGATCGACTACTAATTACTCATTTAACGTACGCGATGTGTAACACTTCATCATTGTCACAGATAGTTGCGAATCGGTTGGATCCAACACTGTTGCTCAAAAGATGCCTTTCCGCGATACGATTTGGAAACGATCATACGACGAGCGTGTAAATACAAATTAAGTAAGAAGCATTAATGTCGTTCGTGAACGTTTACCGAGTTTTTCCGTTGTAGACAGTTCTCTATTGTAAAGTAAAATTACTCGATGATTGTGTTTTTTCCAAGTGAGATACCGAGAGTGCACATCGACCGAAATAACGTGAACAAAAGTAAACAAGAAAGACTACAAAAAGAAAAAACAATGGAAGCCAACAAACGTTTTATTATTGTGAGAATGTTATTTTGATAGGTGGCAGAGATCGATTCTTATTTCGTAAACTCATTACAGGATGATTAAAAACTGATACACTGGCAGTGGTTTATTTTAACACACTCTTCAATCACTCCTCCGTTGGACCGCTCGTTAAATATCTCCAACGATCCGCGTTCCGTCGATGTCCACGTAACGAATCCGAGTTGCATAAAAACCTGCGGTTTATTATCGTTCGCCTTTCACGCGTGACATCGATCGAACGTGGAAGCAATTTCATTTTACTTCCAGTCTTCTCGAGCTACCTTATGTTTCTTTGAGAGGCGCACGGTCGGTATACAGTGGTTTCATTTGGGAATGCAATGAAATACACGTATGCATTTACCAAACGATTTCTCACACACGAATTTATTTCAGGCCTGCGATACTTCCATATATTTTTAGCGGATGCATCGGTCAACAGTTATCCAAGTTTACGGACAAGTCTTCGACGTTTCAAGAAATTAAATTCGGATTGTCGACGAAGAGGAAATTAGCGGAAACGGAATTCTTATTCACGTTGCCCGATAATTGACCGATGGTCGTAATTTGTTTTAGACGCGCCGGTGTCGGAACGTTCCTCCGAATGTTTAACATTGTAGCCGGAAACGGTGGAGGAACGTTCCGATACGTTTGAAACGTTGAAGGACCTGGTGCATTCGGAAAGAAAAACCTCGCATGATCGAAAAAAGAAAGCAGCTCCGAGCAAATGGACCGATGTCTGTACACGTAACGACATTTAATTCCACATGTTACTAAAAGCACAACAAGGAGAGGAGGAATGTGTGAGCGATTCCACCGCTGAGGAATCATATTTCGCGAGTTACACGACAGGTGTTACGGCCCAAAAAACGATGAATGAACTTTGATGATGATGATGATGCTTATGCTGGTGATGATGATTATGATGATGATGATGATGATGATTCTGATGCTTATGATGCTTTATGATGATTATGATGCTGATGATGCTAGTGGTGGAGGTGATATAGGTGGTGATTATTTGATGATAGTGATATGATGAGGATGTTGATGATGCTTAATGGTGATGAGGTTGAGGAATGAGGATGAGGATGAATATGATGAGGATGATGATGATGACTGGGAAGTAGAGGCTGAACTTCGAAACACAGGTGACTACGAAATTGAAATTTATCTTCTTACATAACAAAATATGCGCTTTTGCGCAATCCGAAATTAAACACGTTCGCGCAAGGTCCCGCGATACGAACGACGGTCTGTTCGTTATTCCTTGCGTCTTATTACCGTCAAAATCTTCGGCCATGGTCAATCGCATTACGCAACTTCTTTCTTCTCATTCGTTCTACCGTACCGTATAAATCAAAAACCGTTGCTTCTTCCGTCGGGCAAATGAAAATGTTTCAAGCGATCTTGCATTTATTTATCTTATTCGTTCGCAACCATCCGCAATAATCGTGCAGCCGCGTATTGTTTGCATATCGAAATATTCAAACAGACGTTGGTCTTTCGCATAATAACGTTGCACATTCGATTCCTCGCGTGCGTGACATCATTAGCAAGTTCAAAGTATGCGAATAATAAAACGCGTCAATTCTAAAAGTCATTTACAATGAATCCTCGTTTCGTACTCGAACATTGTGCATTTGTCTATAATTCCCCGACGATTAATTACGCTGTGCTTTCCTTTAACAGTTCAGGTGAACGAATTGTTAAATGTAAATCCAGGATGAGCTGGTATTTTTCACTTGAAAAACGAACTAATATGCCCCGAAGCAAAGAAAGGGAGAGGAACCGTCCGCGGAGCGAGCTACGGAAATTCACAAGTTTCGTAAGCGCCTTGTTTGTGCAACGATGTCCCAGAGTCGTGACCCCCATGGGAAAGACTAATTTCCTATTTCTGTTTGCAGGTATCGTTCGACGCCGAACCCGGCTGATTACCTACACGACCATTCGATCGTTCGATCATCGAGGATAAGGTTCCGCTCTTTTTGCATTCCTCGTTTCTTTTAACGACGATATGTTTGTTGTACTTATATAAACGATAATTCATGATCTTATTTCATGTATCACGTTTAATCAACCCTGACACATTATGATGTTCACCATGAAAAACGAATTAAAATATATTTAAATATCTAATGAACGATGAATTTGCAAATTATTTGCGAATTAAAAATTTATATCAGCTACGCAGGAATAACAGGTCTGTTCCATCGGTTTACTGATTTCATTAATTCAATTACGTACGGAGAAAAGTCTTCACGGAAAAATACCAACGTAAATTCATTCGGATTATAGTAATATTAAATCTGGAAAGAGAATAATTTACACGTTTAGACGATAATATAGTTCATTTGCTCTGATCTTTCTGACACAAATAATTGTAAAAAATGATGAATGCAAGAGACGCAAAAATTACTTTAATCGCCGCTGTAAGTATTCATACGTAATTAGGCGTTTAGACATGAACATATGAGCGCAAAACTGCAAAGCGTGACACTGGAAAAACTAGCGGCGGCGTTAGTTTTTTTCGTGAACGATTGAGCTAGGTATATAGGAAATTGGAAAGCAGAAGTTATAAAAGTTCAAGGCAGCGGCGGTACGCGTACGATAATTCGACTAACGTTAAATTAGAAGTCTACGGTGGTCTACGGGTGTGTAGGTGCGGATGAAAGTCGAGGCTTTTGTACTTTGATCGGCTGCCGGGACGACGGGCGAGGGGAAATAATAAATACATCGACAATGTCGATCGTACTTAAAGAAGACGTCGGGAACTGGTCATTATGAAATGTTAAAAGTTAAAACCTCCGCCAGTTTATATCGATGTACAGAGTTGAGCTGATTCATCGGAACTCGGCCTCCCCGCCACCTGCTCATTTTTAGCGCCTGTACACTGGCCACTAGCCTAAGCTTAGCTGTACTGCTGTGCTGTACTATACTATCGGACGCAGAAGCGTCGAGACCGTCGACGAGGACGGTGATCAGTTTTCCGATCGATCTTCCGTTGGGGATAGAATGGCGCCAGCACTCAGCAAATTCGCAAACAGACGCACACTTGCTGGTGCCTGTGCGTTAACCGCGTTATTGTGGATATTGAAGAGGCGAAATCATAAACGAGGAGCGAAGAACAGCAGGTAATTAGAAACGGTTGTACACGTATGTTTGGGCAGAGCCGACGTCACCGTGATATCTCGCACGTCTACGTGATATTTACATTGTCTTACAGAAATGCTTGGCCCGCCAATGACATTCAGTATGTTATCAAGGAGGTGAGATATCGGTCCACTATGGTAATTGCTAAACGTATGAGAGAAATAATTTCCACGTTTTCACAGGAAAAACCGAAATCAGCACCGAAGGCTTACGTGAACGCAAAATTCTTCAAGCAGCTGCAGCAGCTGCTGAAAATCGGCATCCCGTCGATCGTGTCGCCCGAATTCGGATTCGTTCTTCTTATCGCTGGTTCCCTAATTGCCAGATCACTATGCGATCTCTGGATGATAAACGTCGGCACGTTGATCGAGCAGTACGCGACCTTTTACTTCCCTCGATTATCGTTCACGATCAAGCCTCCTATCGAAAGCTTGTTTTTATTCCTTCAGGTCAATCGTCAATATGGACACGTTTACATTTAGAAAACGTTTAATCAAGTTCATGGCTGCCCTACCAGTGGTGAGTCCCAACGTGATAAGCTATTCTAGAGGAGCACGCTTCTGTAGATCGTTATCTGTTCACGTGAAATTAATTGTTATGATCTATTCAGATAGCTGTCGTGAACAACGTACTGAAGTTCGGTTTGTACGAAATGAAGCTGAGGCTACGTACGAACATCACGAGAGATTTGACGGATCAGTACCTTAAGTAAGTCCACGTACTCCGTTTTACGAAATCCCGATACGAATCATCGTCTGTTACAGGGGCTTTACCTATTATAAAATGAGCAACTTAGATAGTCGAATAGCAAATCCGGATCAGTTGTTGACGACCGACGTCGACAAGTTCTGCGAAAGTTGCACAGACCTGTACAGTAACGTAGCGAAACCATTGCTAGATATCTTTATCTACGTTTATCGGCTCACGACTAATCTAGGGGGTAAAGTACGTATTTCGTGCTGATACTCAGGTGATAATCGTAATAATACACACGGTATTTTATAGACGCCGATAATTATGCTTAGCTACCTCGTCGTAGCTGGCGCGGCAATAACTCATCTCCGCAGGCCGATCGGAGCCATGACCGTGCAAGAACAGCGGCTCGAGGGCGAGTATCGCCACATTCATTCGAGATTAATTACCAATTCTGAGGAGGTCGCATTCTACCAAGGAAACAATCGAGAAAAATTAATTCTTCTAGCCAGTTTCCAGAAGCTGGTAAGTCTTTGAACGTCTGCGAAATCAATCCGTCGAGAAACACGCGATGTAGAAGGACGTTCGTTTTCAGGTGGCGCATCTACGTAGGTTCCTCGAGTTTAGGACTTTCATAGGAATAGTAGACAACTTCGTCGGCAAATGTAAGCTATTCCACGTAATCGCCTGCGTTATCGTCAACGCCAACCAATTTGTTGTATGTTTCACACAGACATGGCGACTATATTTGGTTTCTACGCGGTGAGCCTCCCGTTCTTCCAGAAGAATCACCCGATCCTCTCGGGGTCTCCCGATCATCGATTTAAAAATTATTACACGTACGGCCGTATGCTAGTGAAGCTTGCAGAGGCCATAGGTAGACTAGTTTTAGCTGGCAGAGAATTGACGCGACTGGCAGGGTTCACTGCCAGGGTGACGGAAATAAAAACCGTTCTCGACGACTTGAACGCAGGAAAGTACGAAAGAACAATGATCTCCGATTTCAAAGACGAGCCGATCGGAAGTCCGGGCGCAGGGAGAATAGTGAACAGAGATAACGTTATAACATTCGATCGCGTGCCGTTGGTAACCCCGAACGGAGATATTCTCATCAGGGAGCTATCGTTCGAAGTCAAGTCCGGAATGAACGTGTTGGTTTGCGGCCCGAATGGTTGCGGGAAGAGTTCTCTGTTCAGGATTCTGGGCGAGGTAAGCGACCATGGGTTCTAATCTGATCGCACTGTTTTGTTACGATCACGGGAATAAGCGTTTTATTTGGATAGCTGTGGCCAGTCTGGAGCGGTACAGTTACTAAACCTCCGCGAGGGAAGCTGTTCTACATTCCCCAGCGTCCGTACATGACTCTGGGCACTCTGAGAGATCAAGTGATCTATCCTCACACCAAGGCGGAGATGGCGAGGCGCGGACGGACGACGGACGAAGACTTGAAGAAATTACTGGATCTCGTCCAATTGGGCCATCTTTTGGAGAGGGAAAGTCTTACGAACACCGAGGGCCAAGGGTGGGACGTCGTGGCCGACTGGATGGACGTCTTATCCGGCGGTGAAAAACAGCGTATAGCGGTAAATTTGTTTTGAAATCGCGTACGAGAAAAACGAAGAAGAAAGACGATTGCGAGCAATAATTTGCAGATGGCCAGGCTTTTCTACCACAAGCCGCAGTTCGCTATTTTGGATGAGTGTACGAGTGCCGTTAGCGTCGACGTCGAGGACTCGATGTACTCGTACTGCAGACAGGCGAACATCACGCTGTTCACGGTGTCGCATCGACGATCTCTTTGGAAGCATCACGAGGTAACAACGGAATGAACTAACGTTCTCGTAACGAAGTCACCGAACGAGCGCCCGTGTTTTTTTCAGTATTATCTGCAGATGGATGGCAGGGGAAACTACGAGTTCAAGCCGATCGAACCAGACACGGAAGAATTCGGATCGTGAATTTTCTTGTCCCTTGCATCTGATAACACTTGCCACAATGCAAGGGACGGGCACATTACGTTCGACTGATTTCAAATGATTTTGGTGTACACCTGCAAGTGCACAGATCACCTGTGCATGTACTCTACGTACCTTTGTGTTGGAATCGTACGGATCCACGAGTATCGTATTCTTCTATACTGTACTATATTTTTATATACCGTATTTTTATATACTGTATATTTTTATATTTGTGTCTTTTATAAAACGGAGGACAGGTGACGTGCGAGAGAGAGAGGGTGGGAGCTTACCGCGATATAGGCCTTAACGACGCGTTTAGTGGTGAAATTAAGGTATAACGCGTGGAGTATCGTTGAACAAACAGAGGTAAATTGGTAGGCGTTACATATTTTTGATACCGAAGTAGTCTTTCAGGATTAAATCACGTTTAAGCATTGGCAAACATATTAAAAAGCAATTTAATTAATGCAACTTGTGTATATGCAAATAGTTATATCTAGTTTAAATCATTTCCTATTTCGACGATTAATAATGATTATTACGATTCGTTTATGTGTAGATCACATTTGAATAGTAAGCATGGCCGAGAGTGTATATCGGATTGCTGGACAATAAGAACGTGTAATAAAAAGCGATGATAAATATATGACATTGTTGGACCCTCCGCGATGTATCCCTGCTTTCCCAAGGCCCGGCCGCACGCTCGAGATTCTCAGAAAGACCCGAGATCGAACGTATCGTTTCATGCAAATTTAGACGACGGCAAAGTTAAACGCCGCGGTTCCTGATAATTCCGCAGAGCGCACGCGTCGCCGGCGCCATGTTGGTTGACCGTTGATCGGTCGGAGACGTCGGAGTCGGAGAAGCTCGGCCGGGTTTGGGAAGCTAGCAAAATTCCGGATTCTGGGCTTTCTTCAGTTGCTAGTGGATAGTCGCGGAGTTTGTGAGAACGTGGTGTCGTTCACGATGTACGCGTGTGCCAGATAAGAGTAAAGTGCAGGCAGGGTATATCGCGAGGGCTGGTCGAGAGGAGGACAAAAGAACGCGAGGAATCGCATTATCGTCGGCGTACGTGTCCAGATAACCGATCGTACGTGTCGAACGGATCGTTAAAGATCAGTGGCAATGGACTCGTGCGACGTAGGTACGTAAAAAAGGAAATCGGGAGGTCCTCGACTTCGAAACCCGTGAAATCGATGAATGCGTAGACGACAGACGCACAGTGATCCGCATATGTGCATACGTGTCCAAGGATTCCCGTAAGTTTTTCTTTTTCTCCCGGGGATCCGTCTCCGCCTTTCTCTCCATCTCCGTCCCACCGTCTCTTTCTCCCCCTATCTTTCGAGCGTGCCGTGCCGTGTGTTCGTTCGTTCGTTCGTTCCTTCGTTCCTCTTCTACCTATCCCTGCTCTCGCGTTGTTTCCCCGAGTTGTTCCTCGTGGCGTGCGCGTTCCCGAAGGCACCGTGGCCAGACCTATCGCGACACACTGCGCTCGTCGTGTGACGCAGACGAGCGCGTCTCGGACAGCCTAGGACGCCGGGAGTACAGGTGCAGGTGCGGATACGGGTTAGAGCGCGGGTGTGTGTGGACGTGTGCACGGGACGCTGTTACGTGGCCTGGAACAAGGTTAGTCGTGCGAATTCGGCGACGACGACAGTTGCCGTGGATGTTGCCGAGGATGGACGATAGCGCGGGTCCGCGTACGGACGGGACGACAATGGCCAGCAGCAGCGAGAGTAACGACGAGGAATCGAAGCCTGCCCAGCAACCGAGTACAGACGACGCGACGACTTCCACGTATTCCACGATACAGTCGGACCAGCCAGCCGAATATTGCGGTCAGCAGGAGTCGACGAGGGCCGGTTCGACCTCGCCGCTCCCTGCGGCCACCAGCGCCTCCTCTTCCTCGTCCTCCTCATCCTTCTCCTCTTCTAGCTCTTCTTCTTCTTCTTCCTCGTCACCTTTGTCTTCGTCCTCGACAACGTCTTCGCCGTTGTCATCCTCTGCCTCCACGCCACTGCCGCCGCCACAGCCGGGGTGTGGCTGCGACGCCGCCACCGTCCTCGAACCAGACGAAATTACCATCAGCATTACGCCGACCACCGGTGGACAGTTCGACCTTACCGTTGACCGCGCCGACACCGTCGAGAATCTCAAGAAGATCATCTCGAAGAGGCTGAAGGTTGCCAAGGAGCGCATTTGTTTGTTACATCGCGAAAGGTTCGTACATCATCATTCTTACAATACTGTCTATATTTATGTGCGTAGAATTTATGCGATCGGATCGAACTTCTTATGTATACCTATTTATTTTCGAATCTCCTTAGGAGATAATCATCATTGTCTCTTCGTATCGTTCCGAATTAGCGTCGTCGTCGTCGTCGTGTACGCAAAAACGGTAGCTACGACGGACAGATTTGCGACGTTAATTAAGATTCGGATTACGAAAAGAAAATGAGAATGGAAAGGTGAAAGCGTCCTCGGGTCATATGTTCCGAAATTAGTCGATAAATCTATAACGCGAGGAAGAGGTCGCGATCGATTTCGGAGCGGTTCGCTCCCGGACCAGTCTCGGGGAAGGAATCTTGGCTCGAACAGTCGAAGAAAGAAAGGGACTGGACTTGGTTGGTAGGTGTAACGTAACGTGTGCGCCCGCGATATCGCGTTGTTACGGTGCGAACGAAGACGGGATCGGACGCAACGAAAGAAAAAGAGAGAGTGGGCATAATATTCGTGGGCGTCGTGGGGGCCGCCGCACGGACCGATCCTCCTCCTTCGTGGCGAGCACGCGAAAGAAACATGGTGGAGAGGAAGGCTGGCTGGCATACCGTAGACCTCTCGGAAGTAGGAGGAGGTGGAGGTGGTGTTAGTAGGTAGAATATCTCGGGAATCGCGTTCTCGTTAAGTGGAACGGTGACAGCGCCGAGAGCCAGACGAAGAAAGAGGAACGGTCGGACGGAAAAGACGATACGGCTTGGCTATTCCCGTACGCGAGACATCGTCGTCGCTGGAATTTCCCTTCTTTATTCTTCTTCTTGCTCCCCTTCTTTTCTCTCTCACGCGTATCTTTGCCTCGCCATCCCTTTTTTTTTTTTCTTTCTTTCTTTCTTTCTTTCATTCGCGATCTTTTTATCTCTCGACGAACGATAAGCACGACGGATCCTCTCAGTCATTCGTTGAACGGCGTACACCGACTTTGAGAAGAGTCGCAGATGTATTCTTGCCCGGCCAGTTTCGGGCGCGCAGGTAGATACGTTTCTTCCTCGCTGCGTATTTTAAATGCGTGTGTGCGCTCGTGTCTCCTAGCGTCGAGCGTTGAACGCGACACGTGCATACGGGGCAGCCGCTGCTCATACGCGTCCTGTTTGCCTTCTCTGCTGCCCGTTCCTTGAGCATGCGTACATACATAACACCGTTCGACGTAGTAGAACGACGTACCCACGACAATTCGAATTCGGCCGTGTGTTTTTTTTTCCTCCCAGAAGCGTCAAACTCGTCGGTACACCGGAATCGTCGTTAGTCATGAATCACCGTGTGCCGAAAGTATGGACTGGATTCCTTCTTTCGTAGATCCGACGGTCGTTCACGGATTTCCATTTTCTCGGATGCGACTTGTTGTACCGCATGAAAACGCGAGTCTCAAGGTTAAGCGCAGCCTTACCTTAACCGTTTTGTGTCACTACGTGTCATACTCGTTAGTCATCCTCGTTGCGCGTACAAGGAGCGAACTTCTCCGTCCAATTATCTTTATCTCAGCGAGTCGTTTATTTAAGAATCCCTTCCATCGGGCCGTCTAAAATCCGTACTGGTAAACACATTTCTACATCCGCACGGCTCCCTTTCTTTCCTTTCGTTCATATCGGTCAGCGCTAGAAATTAATTCAATTCTTTGAACCCTGCTCGATAGTCGGGTGAGGATGCCCCGTTCACGATTGATCGGCCGAACTGCAGAATCGTCTACTGGTACCGAAACGGTTTCCGACTTTGTCGATTCCTCTGAGGAGCGATAAGCTTCTCGGAAAACAAATCTACGACGATGATAAACCTGTCACTCTCACGCTGATCCGTTCGGGGAAGGATCGCTGGGGAATCAGTCGAATTCGCGGGACACGCGTTTCAACGGAATCAAAGTCGATCGTTGACTAAGGAATGTCTGCATTTTCGCAATCGTTTCGGTGACTGGTTAATAAGTACTTTCGAACTGGACTTTAACGCGACACGGTACGAAGTACGTGCGACTCGTTCGACATTGTCCTATCGGGATCTGCTAATAAATTTCAATCGGGCGTTACCCCGCGTTGTATAACCGTCGGTGTCGCAGTTACGGACGTAACAATGGCGTAACGTCGTGTCCGGATCGTCGTCAGCTAAGCCCGCTGTTTACTCTGTCGGGTCTACGTTTAAATCCAATCCGAATCTAACGATGGGCGACGAGAGAAAGACAACGATGCCTCCGGACGACGAGTCCGATACGTATCGACTCTTCGTACTCTCGCCTCCTCTGTCCGGCGATAACGCGGCTTATCGCACCGTTCAATCTCACGGATTCAGCTCCGTTATCGTCGCATTTTGGCCTTCGCTACCAACCGGATGACTAACGTCAATGTCATCGCGATGATTTTCGAATCGTATCATAAATCATGCGATCAGACGCGTTTCTGAGGATGCCGTCGTTCTCCGATTGATCGGATGTTCGCTCACGCACGGACATCTCGCATTGCTAAAAATAGGCAGAGAGGCTCGTCCGGCATTGGTTAACGACAGGTTCCTGGCGAACGCGCCCCGATAATTTGTATCCGATGGCCCACCCAGCTGAGACCACTCCGTCACGATAAGGGCAACGCCTCGGTCGTGTCATTCGTATCCGCGTTTATCGGGAACCGCGTCAGAGATTAACGCGTTTCTCCGTATTCCACAATATTCCCGGTGATTTCGTCAGAAGAAAACATGAATGACATTACCGTGATCTTTGTTTCAGGCAATTACGCGACGGCACGCTCGAGGAGAATCGTTTGCAGGATGGTAGCCGACTCACTTTGCTGCCGAGCGTGGAAACTGGCCTATTGGTAAGTCGTTTATACCTCGAGAGTACCCTCGAAGTAAGAATGGAGCGACGAGTGTTTAATTATGAAACAGGATCTCTCGATAAAAATATGTCACACGGTGTTGTGCGCTCGCAAGGTCTTTCTCTCCTCTGCTTTAGTCTGAGCTTTCGACGCGCGACAAGTGTTCGTCTGATGAAGAAGAAGAGGTTCGCGTAACAGATGGAAAACGTGCACGGAGCCGGGCAAGCGCCGTTAACTCTGTTCGCGTATCATCGGGTCACTTGGTTTCTCGGTCACCGTATCGTCGGCGCATCATTTTCCGGTACCATTGCGTGGCATTTTCCTCCCGTTTCACTGCGACGCGTTCCGGTGGTGGTGGTGGTGGTGGTCGTCGTCGTCGTCGTTCGAAGGATCGAACTTTGTAGCTCCTTTAATTACCAGATCCCTCCCCGAGTCTCGCCGCCTCCAATATCCTATCCGTCCGCGGCAGGAAGGAAGACGCCTCGGCAGACGTTTCCATGAGAACGAAGTAGCGAACGAAGAATCGGGGCTAGGCTGTTCGATTTGAATCGATAAACACGAAGCCGAGCGGCGTGGAGAACCGGGCTGCACTGGCGTACGTGACACAAAGGATGCAGCAGGATTCCTTCTTTCTCTCTTACCGAGAATGAAATGCTCCTCGAGCCTGTGTATGCAGCGGGAACAGCGCCCCGGGTCCTTATCGCGACCGAGACTCGTTCGCATGGCTGTCAAGGGGACCGCCCGTTCCCCGAGTCCTCGGTCGCACGCAGTCAATTTTAAAGCATCCGTGTGCGCGCAGGGTCGGTCTATACGTGCCTCTCCCGTGATCGTTCCACACGTACACGCACATGCACGCGGCATTCGTTGGTTCGTGGGTGGTTGCGAAGGAACGATGCGAGACCTGCCTACGCTGGCTTCGTACGGCGCCGTTGGCCAGCCTGCGAGTTCGGTCGAAGAATGCCTCTCCCGATCGGCACGCACCTCCGTCTCCTCCTTCGGACGAATATCGACCACCCCACGATCGCGCAAAATAACCGGGCGACTTGTAAAAAGCGTCGTACGTTAACTTAACGGTCCGTTCGTACGCGCGTAGCAACGGTTGTCGACTTTTCAACCATCGAGAGTGTACACCCCGTGATCCTGATCGGATTCGGAAATCCTCTGGTCTACTGGAAAAAGTTGGTAAATACACGCAGCGCGAGTCAGAGAACGAAAGGTGAAATCGATGAGAGACCGTAGGAAGGAGGGACGCGCTGTACACACGTAGGTCGGTTCCCGTTCCGTTGTTAAGACTCCATCGAAACAGGTTGAAAGTTTGGTAGGGCGTGATGTCTGGCTGCCCGGCTGTAGGAGAAGTTTTATCGATCGTCTATGGAAATTCTGCGGAACACGCCGAGAGTTGCTCCGGCGTTTTCGCGTTATTTCCGGGGGAACGCGTTCGGCAATGGTATTAAATGATAATTGGTCGGCGCGCGTTTGATGCATCGCTTCTGCAGCTGGCTAAGGGATTAATTGCCACCGAGGGTGGAAAGAGACAGGGAGAGAGACAGCTGATCGCGTACGAACCTAAACGAGCTGAATTGCGCTGCTTTGAATAACGAAAATCGTAAGAATGCGATGACCTCGCCGCTGAACGTGGCGGAAAGACGAGTCATAAGGTCGGTCCGTGCGTCGCCGCTTTATCTCTCGGTCGTTCTGTCGTGACGTCTCAAATTGCCCGCGTGATCAGCAGAAACGGCCAACCTTTCGAATGTCGTAGCAAAATGAAATAGTAGCTGTGCCTTTTAAGAAAGAAGCGGGCGAGCCGGTGTCGCTCCAGCGTGTATCGTCTCTGGCGAAGGGTTCAAGCAACTGTACTGCGATCGCTCTACATCGATCGCACATGGCAGATGGCCCTTTGTCACCCTTTGGGACGTCTCCCGATGTTGAATAGACACGTTTGCAGGTGGAAGACCGTTCTTACCGAAGTACTTTTTGTCCTACTTAACGTCTACGTAGCACGTGTACGCGCGTGTATTTTCAGTTGACACGTGGTGCGTGAATCGTAAACGTTCAGGTCCCCCTCTACCATCGGTCGCGCTGGGAGCTCTCTTTGCAGAGCCAGACCGTATTTTTTTCTTATCCCACGGTACGAACCCACCGTCGGTCGGACCCAGACAGACGTGCCCTAGCGACACGGTCGAATAGGGGAACGGCTCTACGATTCGTGGCTGTACGCTTCTGACCTGATAACAGGTCGCAATTGTATCGAGGTGCTTCCTCGAACTCGCTGCGGGAATCCCGACGACGCTCCCCGATAACGATTTCAGTTTTAATCATATTTCGCGTTTCGTTAACGCTTCGCGCTCTCACGATTACCAAGTACGAATTCTGAATCGAACGCGATACTCCTTGCGGTGATTTTTTAATTCAGAACTCGTTTGCCAGTAGCGTTCTGAACTTCCGGTGGAGTCCTTGCTCGATTCGATTGCCGGCGAAGCGAGCTCGGAGAAAGAGGGAAGCATTACGCGTGTCGCAGGGTCCATTCATCGAAGCCCAGATTCCCCGCAAAACGAACGGCAGGCAAATCGAATTACCGAATATACGATGACCGTCAGTGAAAGGAAGTCCGTTAGGTGTACCGAGGGATACCTAGCTGTGCCGTCTAGGGTCTGAGCCGCGGTTCCGCGAGGTTTCCTCTCTTCTGCAGGTCTTCTCGCGTTTCCATCTCTAGTCGTCGGCCTCTCATCGATTCAGACCTCGTCCTTTGGCCGGATGAATAGAAGGAAAAGAAATCGTCGTGTTGTCGCCGTTTCGGGTAGAGAGGACTCTCTTTCTATCCATGCCACGATTTTTCAATGGACGGCTGCGGGCAGCCAGGCAGGGCATTATAATTCCTCGAATGGAGGAAAACGATGTATCGGGTCTTTAATTTTCCGTGCAAACGGAGAAGGGGATGTTCCATCTTCCGGCTTGACAATCGAGTAAGCGTAGGGGCTCTGTTCGTCTATTAAAATGAGAGCCGTAGGATCGTCCAAGAGGAGTTTGATTATCCAGAGTTCTCGGTCGTACGGCTTCCTCTGCCCGAGCTATTCGCGGCGTTGCCTCTTATCCTGTAAAAGTATTTAAACGCCGTTTAGCGGGTAAACACTTGGGCGAATCGTGTCACGCATTCTACCCGATACATCTCGGCGTGAGTGAAATTCAATTATGCACCCGTTTCCTGACCGTCGGATACGCTTTTTTTCAGGGGCAGCGACCGGAGCAGAGCGTGATGCAAGCGCTGGAGAGCTTGAACGACTCCCAAGTGAACGATTTCCTCTCCGGCAAAGCTCCGTTGAACCTTACCATGCGACTGGGGGATCACATGATGCTGATCCAGCTGCAGTTGTCCACGGTCACTCCGGCCTCGCCTACGACCAATCAGTCCAGCAGCGCTACGTCCGGTTTGACCATTGGGAATAGCGCGAACGGATCGAACTTGTCCACCAGCCACGTGTCCACTTCCCTGCAGAGCAGACGGTCGACCGTCCTCGCTGCTCGATCGGGCAGCGGCGCGTCCGCCAAGTTGCAGAACGGGAACGCGGCCTCGAGGTCTTCCTCGTTGATAAGCAGAATGGCGTCGGCGTTGCACGCGGTCGCCAGTTGCAGCACCAGCCTCTCGACGGCCACCACCACGACGAGTCCCGTTTGTTCCAGCCGCGCGTCGCCAACCTCCTCGTCCGTCTCGCCCTCGTCCTCGTACTCGCCGATCAGTCCGCCGCATTCGTCCTTCTGCTCCAGCCAGTCCGCACGAAGCGGCAGCAATCACGGCTCGGTGTCGCCTAACGGAAACTCGTCGAACGCCTGCCAGTCTCGCCTTCTGTACCATCATCATCACCATCATCACCACAGTCACCACCATCACCACCATCACCACCATCATCATCATCACTCGAGGAACAAACCTACCGGCTCGTCCAACACGGCTTGCTGTCGCCAATCTTTGTCTACCGTGGATCACATACAACAGTCTACCTCCACCGGGCACGGGTGTACGGACACCGCGATATCCTACGACGCGATCCCGCTGAGGAAGAAGCTCTGCACCGCGCATCATCACGGCCAGCAATCCACGAACAGCGCGGACTCCACGTCTAGGAGTAGCAACGCGGACGGAGACGCGAGTCCTCAGAGCCCGGCTCTTCCCGAGCAGAACACGAAGGCCGCGACTCTGGACACCAGGGCGCTCGCCGAGGCATCTCGTAACTTGACGCAAAAACTAAAGCAACTCTCCTCTGAGGTACTCACCTCACGGGTCGACCTCGCAGAGGTATACATTGTTACCGATGCCAGTTCCCCCTGTGTACCACTATTTCGTATATATTTCTCTACTGTGTGTGCTCGCGCTCGTTAAGGCCCTAAGAGATTCAAATCGGATGTACCACGTATCCGAGGAAAAATTCATCCGAACATTCTCTTAGACCCTTAAAATCTTCTCTCTTCTGTTATCTCGCTCGACCAAGTCGTCGTTTCTATATGTGTGTGTATATATATATATACATATGTATATATATCGTGCATGCATCGCGAATGGATCGAAACACACGCAGTGAGAGTAAGTCGCTGTTAAACGTAATTTTATTCGAGTATCGTGCAAGCGATAATCCCCGACGATTTTCCGAACCCAGGAGAACGCGAGACGCAGACAGGGTGCAATAATAGAGAGTATGCATCACCACGGAAAGGGTGTGTACTCCGGTACGTTCAGCGGGACCCTGAATCCGGCGCTTCAGGATAGACACGGCCGTCCCAAGCGAGATATAAGCACTATAATTCACATTCTGAACGATCTGCTGTGCGCCACTCCGGCCGCAACCGCGAGCCATTACAGGCATCATCACAGGCATTCTAACGGCCGCCAGCAGTCCTCCGCATCTCCGTCCTCGTCCGGAGCGACGACCATCGTCAACGGTGCCTCGACGTCCATCGCTTGCCACGATTCATCCGGCGCTGGATATTGTACCGGTACGTTACATTATGTTATCAGGCATTGTTTGTGCGACGTCGGTGAATAGCGGGGGAAGGAGATCGTTGCGAATTAATTGTGTGATTCTTTTGCCGATAGAAGAATTATCGAAGGAGAACGAAGCGACGAAGGGAAAGATGAGACGGCTGCGTTTGGTAATGGAACAGAGACGCGCGAAGAGAAAAGCTCGAAGACAGGGCGCGGCACCGTACACCACGCAATGGGCGGCGGTCACCCCGGATCCGGACCCAAACCACGACCCAAACACGCCGACCGCTGCGACCGCAAACTCGACGGAACCTCAGAATGAGCCAGAACTGCAGCCCTGCAGTCCCGAACCGGTCGTAGCTTGAACGCGTTGATTCGTTCAACGCGGAGGCGAGTAGTCGTTTAAATGGCAATGTGTTTCTTTCTTTTTCGTTTTAACTAGCGCACTGATTTATTTCGTGATCGCTTATGAAGCTCGTATATCGGGAGAAGTTTCGAGCCGTGTCTCTGGAAGATATCCGAAATGGCAGTTGAATAGACGGTAAAATATCGTGAGCACAAACGGTAGCCACAGTTAAACGCTGGCTCCGTTTCGTTGGTAATCAGTGATTCTTATTCTTGTTTTCCGACTCGACTCGACGTTTGAATCTGTCGTACATTTACGTTGGTCCGCGACGGATTCTTTTACGGAGCAGAAATTATTCTTCGTATCCCGGGTTAATAAGAGTCGCTGTTCTATACGCATAATTTTCTCAGTATTGATACGCGTACATCAAGTCCAAGCAATTGCTTTCGGAATGTTTCGGAACGTTGGCGAAACTCGAAGGAATTTAGCAATATCGCATAATGGAATGGCGTGCAATGTTAGGGCACGGTAATAGGAATTATTTAAATAGGAGTTTTTCACGGGGAAATACGTATACGTTTTCGCTGGAAAGTAACGCTGTATTCGATAGAGGAGACAAAAATTCTAATCTACAATTAATTGAGTCTCGCATGCGAGAAGGATGAAGGCACAGTGTTTTGGCTATATTACTCAGGACTATCGGATCGTAGCTGACAATAATTATTGCATTCGACGAAATAAATCGGTGTGAAACCATCACGTTCGGAGCAGTAAGAAATCGACCAACTAACCGGAAGCGAAACAATTCCCGAGAGGATAGGTGGAATACAGGATCCACGGGGAAATGGAGGTCGTCGCCTTGATTATTGACTAACGATCGAAAGGACTAAAGAAGTGAATAAAGAAGCGACTCCTCTGTGTCTGTACGACCTCGCCTGCCGTGGATAGACTCGCGAAAATTCGTAGAACGCGCGGAGTTGTTTCTTTGTCGTTGCGACACCCTCGATTCGCGTCGGTGTCGGCGTACATTCAGTAGACACGAGTAGATAATTTTGAACTCACACGCGCCCGTGAATCGTGCAGGGAAGAAACTTACGAAAAGCAATGTTTACAAAGCTGTTTAATCACGACGAAAGGTGAGGGGACTTCGGAACTCGTTGCAACGTAGAGGATGACAGTACATTTTCTTAGTACCTCTCGACGAAGTATATCTTTACGTCTGGCAACGGTCTGATCGATCCGCGTCGAAGTCTACACGCAAGAAGTGCACTTTCCGATGTCACCAATTCATCGTGCTCGTCGGACGAAAGATCGTTTTCAAAGGAGCAAAACACCATTCTCAGTTTCTGTTCTTGGATGGTGACGTCGATTCCTCGCGCTTCAACGTCTTAATAGAGAGATCGATCGGTTCACGTTTCAACGTAATCTCATATCAGCTCAGATGGAAAGAGGAATACACAGACTGGATTTTTAAAACTCGAGACCTTCTCGATCGCTCTGTGTCCAAGAGTTCGTTGTAAGCACCACGTCGTCGTCGTCGTCGTCGTCGTTTCGGCGAGGAGCGAAGAAGACAAAGGCAAATTTGAAGCACGTGAATAAATGGTCCTATAGTTAGAATTAGATAATCCTATTGCATGGCTCACACGACGCCATTACTTCATTTAAGTTTGACTAGGTACTAAATAATCTAATCTAATAAAAAATAGCGTATTGCGTTTAGGTTTACTTAGGAGGAGCAAAAAATATTACTACTATTATTATATTATTATCATTACTACCGCTACAGTTTTGCAAACTGGCTCAATATTGTAACATATGATTATCGAATTTTATCGAGTACCAAAATAAATAAGATTGCTTGCTAAGCTAAGGAAAAAAAAAGAAAAAAAACGAAGTCCGTCTTTAAGTCGACTGTAACATCATCTGTTGAGTGTTTGTTAATTATTATTGTTATCGCTGTTTATTGCCTCTGTAAAGAAGGAAAAGGAAAGAATCGGCGATGCTGTTTCGTCCTACGTTTATTATTGATGAGGATTAATTATTATAATTTTCGAGTTAAGACAGAACGTGTTTCTTCTCTTGTTTTTTAACGATTCATTTCGTTTAGTTCGTAAGAATAATAAGTACACGCGTCCACGCATGAACACATACCCAGACACGCGCCCACACATACACACACACACGCGCGCGCGCGCGCGCGTGTGAAATATGATTTAAGGAACCAGTGAAAAAGAAAGAAATATGAAATTTGATTAAAGTTATTCATTTATACATACATATATCGTTTATTTAAATTATGTATCACGTAAAATCGTAGAAATTTGTTATCGGCGCTTAAAAGTACATTTATTGTTTTAGCTACGTATAGCATAAACTTCGCGACGATACAACCATTAGCGTACATACATAATACATACATAAATACATGTTATATGCACACATGTGATGCGTGGGTATGTATATATGTATGTATGTATGTTTATTTTCTTTTTAAAACGGAAGAAAATTCATCGTCCTTCTAGTGAATTGAATTATCACAAACATTAGGCTTACTATTCGGTATCGAATTGTGCAATCTCATTTGAAAAAGTCTTTGCCGTCTGTCGAAAGTTCTGCGCTTGGACCGCTGGACTAACGAACAGCCAATCTTTTCTAATACTACTCGCGAGTAAAACTGTATAAATACGCATTGGCAATAGGTATAAATATCCGTGGCACATGCTTTATGATAAAAAAAACTATCCTTATTTATTGATTACTTTTGGCTAGAAACGATATCTCGTTCGCGATATCATCTTGTTCCACGTATATATTACGAATGTGTAATTCTTTTCTTTTGTCGATGCTACACTAATGCCGCATGAACCTTTAGATATAAAAACGGTAAAATCGCGATCTACGATTATGATGATAACGGTATGCAACGTGTATATCGCGGTTAGGTGTTTATACGATATGTATGAAAAGATTCCGTGGTTTATTCAACGTTTCACCTTTTGTTCGTTCGAGTAGTATTAACGAAAAGAGAACAACGTGTTAATGAAAGATACCAGGCACCGATTTCGCCGTACGTAGATCCCCTGTATCTTTTCTCACTAACACGTTGAATCGTCACGATTCTCTCGACGCGTGTAACGGAATCGTTATGATTCGCTTGTATCTTTAACCGACGGTACAATATGGACGGGACACGACAAGCGTAGTGTCTGCAGTTTATTACAAATAGAAGCACGCGATTATCTCTGCATAAAACACAATGTACAAACACGGCGAACGAAGTAGGAAACGTGTAAAAATTTTGACACTCGCCCGATCTCTAACTCGTTCGAACGCATCGTTCTTATTTCCGTATTTATGGCACAACGCTGGTGCAAATCGTACGAAGACTTCGTTGAATGCTCGATATTTAAATTATGAAGGAAACTGTCCTTATTTGGCAGTCGACATCGTAAATGCCAATAATGTGACGTATTTACAAGCTGACGCGTCACGAGGGTAACTGGAAATGAAGTCAGACGACCGGTTGTTTCTAGTACAAATTAATTTTCTTAGTGATCACTTTGCGACACATGTGGCAAGTCTTCAATGGAGCCGCGCAATGCTCGCAAGCTCCGTGACCGCAAAGAAAAGCGACGTTCCGACGACGTTCCATGCATATACTGCACATGTTGGCTTCCTCCAGATCGGCTACCCGCGTCTCTAAATATCGCAGACGTTCCAAATCCTTGTCCTTCTCCCTTTCTTTGTCTTGATTCTCTTCTTTCTTCTCGTCCAACGCGTTATCCTTTTCTTTCTCTTGTTGCTTTAACGAAACTTCTCCTGTCGCCGCTTGGCCATCTGTCACGAGTCCAAATCAAACATTTTTAAATATCAGTTCTATCTTAACGATCAATATTACCTTACCTTGAATGCCTTCAGTTCTAGCGATCCCATGCCCGCAGTGCGCGCAGTTCATGATCGTCATCCTGCTGCCCGGATCGAACCTGTTTCCTCCGTTCCCCGCCAAACCCAAGCATGCGTGACAGACGGAAACATCGCCGGAAGTCGAAACGCCCTTCCTGGTCCCTAGCACCGCTTCCAACTGCAACGGTGCGTCTATCCGATACAGCGAGGGCTGCTGCAAGGCCGAGGCATTTTCTATTCTGTATAACAGAAGAGGAACGAGAGAATGGAACAACGTTCTTCTTAAGTGTTTGTACGATTCTTAAGCTAATCGTCAATCTCCTTACTCTAGTGGATCACTGCGATTTTGGTATTCGTAACATCGCAGCAGATCGGCGTACGGAGCAAGCTGAGCATCCTCCTCGAGGAGATCTAACGGCGTCTTGTTCTTCGAGTTCCTCACGTGCTCCAACAGCGTCCGGCTTCTGTCGACGCTTACCAAGAAACAGGCCAACGCCAGTTCCGTCTTCGCTTCTTGCCTCGCTAGATTTTGCCAAATCGCATAGATCAGAGGCGAGTCCCGACAAGTCTCGGGCGTAGGAACCACGTTGCTCTGATTGGGACTCTTCACTATAGCAATGTGTAGCACCGTGTCCCCGTCGGCGTCCGTGCTGGCCGTGTCGGCGTTGTGATGTACGAGCAGCTCTACGAGAGCCCAATGGCCCTGGGAAGTGGCCAGGTGCAACGGCGTCTGCCGACGATTGTTTCGCAGGTCTACCTTTGCGTTTCCTCCGCTCGGAGACAGTAGTATCGCGGCCACGTCTTTGTGTCCGTTCAGAGCCGCCAAATGCAGTGCCGCAAAGCCGTCCTCTTTCTTAACGTCGACCAAGTGCCTTGCGCGGGCCACCAATCTCTCCGTCGCACTGTAAAGAACAACGATTTGAACGGCCTCTGCACGAGCCTGGTGCGGGTCGAGATACACTTACTGCGCGTTGCCTTTCAGGGCAGCGTGGTGCAGCACGTTGAAGCCCCGTTTGTTCCTCAGGGTGAAGTCCACTCTCTCGCAGGAGCAAAGCGCGTCGATTATGTCCAGCGCATCTTTTCCAATGGCATCGTGCAGCGCCGTGTCCCCGTACGAATCCTGGAGATCAACGTCGCAATGATGTCGTAACAAAACCTTTACGCACTGAGCGTGTTGCTTGTTCACGGCCACGTGTAGCGCGCTGCACTTCCCGTTGTTCACGGCGTTTATCGCGGCACCGCGAGAGAGCAGGAGCTCCATTATGTCCGGTTGATTGCCGAAAGCGGCATAGTGAAGGGGAGTGTCCCCGTCCTCGTCGACAGCTCGTAGAGACGCTCCGGCGTCCAGAAGAAGAGTGCACAGGTTTCGTTGGCCCTGATGGGCCGCCACTTGCAAACATGTTTTCGTGCCACCTCCCGGTCCGCCGGCCCTCGCGTCGACTCTGCCGGGGTACTTCTTCAGAAATTCCTGGACCGCCGAGACGCCGGCCTCTCCTCTGGCCGCATCTCTCAGCAGCTTCTCGACCTCCGTGTCGACGCCTTCTGTTGTACGGTACAAGTAAGAACGCGCGAAACAGTGTACTCGAAATAATTTAATGAATTAATCGCGTATACCGGTCCACTCTCGATTCCTGTTTGCCTCTTCCTGGAGAGCCGCGGTCTCCGTACCGGGAGGCACGAGGGTAACGCTCAGAGGATTGAACGTCCACGTGTGCCCGTCCAACGCGACTCTCAAATCTCCGTCAGAATATATCTTGATCACCTTGCCGGTTTTCCCTAAAGCCTGCAAAACTCGTTGGTGGAAAGTCGAACGACGACCGGGAGAACGATCTACTTACGTTCTTCATCACGTCTATCCATTCCCCGTGGCCTCGTTGGTACAGTTTCACTGCGGCGACGTCGGTCTTCACCTTGACGATATCGCCCAAGGAAAACGCATCTTTACTGACTCTGGTCAGTGCATCCGGATGGAAAGTCCACCGATTATTGCACCCCTCGAACTGAACTCGTACGTCTCCCTTGTCCGTAATACGGTGTACCTTTCCGACTTTTCCTATGTACTCCGCCATCCGCGGATTCCAACCGCCGTGGCCCTCTTGCATCTCTTTCAGCGTATCTACGTCGACTAATACTTTTATTTTATCCCCGACGTTGAACGTCGAGTGCCGCGGACTAGACACAACGCTAGGGACACCGCTTCTGGTCGGTGTCACGTTCGCCACGTTATCGGACACCGTCATCACCGGTTGTCCGAGCAGCGGGAGATGTTCCTTGTAGTACGTGCCGGCTGTAGCCTCCTCCACGTAACACAAATCGACGCAGCCCTTGTATCCCAGCCGATACACGTTCGTACTGCCCTTGGACCACGTCACCGTCGCCACCGACCGGCCGCTCTCGTTGTCCCATCCTCGTATATCCATCACTCTACCAGTTTTCCCTGAAACGTTTGTCTCGTGTATGTGATTTACGATTAGCAGCGAGTCGAGACGAGCGCGCGATACCTCTTCCTCCGTCTTGGTTGCCCCATTCCCAATCGGGACCGCGAACGACTTTCGCCCCTATGAATATCCCCTTCAAAGGTATCTTCGTGCAGCTTTCTCGCGGAGTCAGTTGAATCCCTACGGAGTTCGCCGTTTGGAACCTCTCGAAACAGTGAGTCAGATCGTGCACGTCGGCCATGTAGCACTGCGTGCACAGATCGTAGTCGCAGCATTGAACGCATTTCCATCGAATCCCGATTATTCCCCGCTTCTTACATCCGTCGCATATGATCTCTGGATGTTTAACGCCCGTGGCTGCATTGTCGAACACCAACAGATCGTAAGCTCCTTGATATCCTATTCTGTAATTGCTTCTCGATCCGTGATCCCACTGAACGATCACTGTTTTATCAGGTGTCCTGTCCGACGCGTACGGACTAGCTGGATTCCCATAAGACGGAGGTTTCCCGATTTCTACAACCGTGCCGGTGTGACCCTCTCCGCCGTCTTGGTCGTCCCATTTCCAATCCTGTCCACGCACAACCCTCAAGCCAACCTCGAGCATCTCCGCAGGATTCTGTAAGCGACCCTTTACATGTAAATCGTAGGTAGTACTACCGTGAGAGACTGAACGAGTTGGTGGAACGAAACGCTTGGAAATTCCTGGAGAGTGTACGGGACTGGATCGCCGGACAGCACTGTATATTTGTAAATGTACGATAATGGTAAATCCAGGAGGTGAAGACTGTGAAACGGACGATACAGGAAGATCGAAGCGGAGAAGAAGAAACGACTAGAAGATTTAACAAGCGTATCGTACTTACGTACCTGAAACGGTCGAGCCTAGCACGAGAGATTTATGAATCATATACGGTGCTGCATTCTTTTCACGTACCCGACGGATCGCGACTCGGAAACTTGAACAAGACCGTGCGGGAGGGCAGAGATCACAGCGTTCGACTGCATCGTTACCAATTATCGGGATTATTTGTCCCGATGGGATTCTGCGTCCGTGTCAAAGATCGTAACCTTGCAGCGATAAGCATAACTCGGAGCGAAACTGCGGAAACGGCTGATCGAAATCGGAGGCGCCTCTTTCGAGGGTATGCGGAGACTCACGGAGAACTGAAAGTGCGGAGAGCAAACTCGGATTTGTAAGGTCAGAATTTCGGGTTCGTCGATCGGAATGGATTTTCCATCGAGCTTACACAGATACTGACAGATACACAAGGGATCACGATCACGGTTCTCGGTAAACTGTAAACTGTATCACGTATAGTCTCGTTTCCGTGCGCCGTACAGGCATCGACGGCGGGGGCGGGACGAACCCGTCGAGTTTGTCCACTAGTATTTTTTTAGGAAATACGAATATTTCCTATTCTTCGTTGCGTGTTACGTGCCGTACAACAAGAACGAAGAACCTCACGATTTTTCTTTCGCGCGGTCTTTACACGGCGTGTGGTACGTAACATATACACGTATCAACATGTCTGTATTACGTCGGTTCTCCGGCCTTTGATTCAGATCTCATTGTACGCGCGCCCAGAGAACGGCTAAACGAAGTTTTTGAACGATAAGATATCATCCCGATCCGATCGTCCGATAATACGATGTTTTGAGTGTCAAGCGATTCAAGAATCAGTCGTATATATATTTAGTACGTGTACACACCCGTGTGCATGCGGTAGATGTAGTAGTTGGCTGGCGGATCGTCGACCAACTTCTCGGGTTTATCATCGATCGTAGTCGATCGCCGTCAGGCATTGGTGCGAATGAGAACGTAGCTCCGCTTTTGATATTCTGTTTATAAGGCGGCACGCATTTTATCGCGGATAACGGACCTAACGGGCTGATCAAGCGAAATCGGTGAACCTATGTCGGTGGAAGGCGTACAACCGCCGATCGTACAGCTTGAATCCCGTCGCGGGTGACGATCCCGCGCCCGGTGTTATTGTTGCTTCCCTTAACCTCCGATCGCACGAGTGACCAGTGAATTCTTGCGAAAAAGCATGAATCCCGTCGGCGGTGATGGAAGCGGGGACGGTAGGAAGGAACGTCGCGGAGGTAGCCGCATCCGTGCACGGGGACCATGGACGTCGAGCTATCAAGGAGGAACATCGCTGAGGAGGCCGCATCACGCCGCGTCTGGAGGGCAAACAGGTTGCTAATGTTTAAAGGTAGCTGCGAGGCTCGGAACTAGGGTTTCGATTCATCTGTTTTGTGTTAGGATCATTGGAGACTGGAGGCGAGCCGACCGATCAAAGAGATTTGGACAAGTCCTTCGAGGACATCGTACAAAACTCCACGCTGTCCGTTCACGCGGCGGAATTCGTTCCAAAGTCATACCCGATTAAACAAGCAGTGAGTATGATTACTCCGCTGCTTTGAAGCGAGCGGTCGGCCGACAGTCACGTCTGCTTTTTTAATGTTAACAGCAGCAACAGCAGCAGCTGCAGCAGCAGCAGCAGCAGCAGTATTCCTCCGTGCATCTACCGAAACATTCGGTCCAACATAGATTGCAAATGGCACGCGGCGAAGTTCAAAATCCAGAGTCTAATTACAACACCTCGCAGCACTGTCAAGCCGACCAAGTTCAACAAATTAACAATATTTCCCAGCAAGTAAATCAGTCTTTGAACATCCAAGATTATGGGACCTTCGACGGAGGCTCGGGAGACTACAAAAACAAGCACGACGTAGACGAGGACGATTATATTATCGAGTTCGCGAACACGACGCAAAATCTGATGAGCGTCGTACACTCGTTGATATTAAATCCAGGACGTTTCACGTCGATCGTGCCGCCCCTCATAAACAATCTTAGGCCTTATTTAGAATCCCCTAGTCAGTTTCGAGAAATTATGCAAATAATAATACAACAGGTATTTGCCCCTATCTTTCGCTGAGCGAGAGGGAAGCTCATGTACTCACGCGTTCAAATATTTTCAGTCTATAAACGAAGGTAACTTTCGGTACAGCGGTGCTCGACTTTGCGCTTCTCTAGACAGCAATTTGTCAGCCACGGAACGAACGCCATTCCGATGGAATCTATATAACCTGTGAGTTTTAGAACATGCGAATGCGACGTTCTCGTTGAACCGAACACTCACGCACTAAATTGAACGGTAGGTGTAAGAGCGAAGCGGACAATCTAACATCCAACTGGCAGCAAAAGGATATCCATACGGAGGAAGACCAGAAGAAGTGTCAGGGATTGATTCTGTTCTTAGCCGAATTAGTTATTCAAATGGAGCACTCGACGGCGTTCGGCCTGGGAGATCTCTTGATACAACTTATCATCGTCATATTGAGGAAACCCGCACCTAATTCCGTCAAGACCATCTGCCAAGCCCTCAAGGTATACGACGTCCGAACGGCTGCCCATCGGATTTCTCAACGTTGATTCTTTTGTAGTTGGCGGGGCACACTTTGGAGAAGAGTGAAAATCGTAAGGAGATGGAGAACATGATGCGGGCACTCATGGATCTCGTCACCGAGGGTAAAGTCGACATACACGTGGGAAGGATGGTGCACAGCGTTCAGGAATTAAGAACCGGAAACTGGGGACAGACTCCCTCCACGCCGTTACAATCGTCGGAAATAATAGATCTCGATCAGGCACTCGACGAGCCTGTCTTCTACGGGCCGGACGGCAAAGTACTCACAGCGGAGGAGAACAAATTCTTGGAAGATGTTGCCGACAGTACAGGAAATAACGAGGATAATATGTACGCGCGTCCGATCTATCCGCGCATCGAACGTTCATCCAACACGTGTACGAGTATACATTTCTGTTTCAGCATACCGATGTACGAGGGCGACGAAAAGTGGATAACTGAAGACGATATGGATGACGACATAGACGAGGCTTTAGACGAATTTTTAAAGAATATACCCAAGCAAATTAAGAATCAAACGCATAAATAATCAGTTGCGCGACAACGATTGCCTACCATAAGTCAGTAATTTAAGTACTTTCGTTGAACCCATAGTTGGAAACTGTGAGGGTGGTTCTCTTAAAATTTCGTTTGCGAACTTTTATAATGTAAAACTTAGCACAGTACTAAATCTGAATTGTACGGCGAAACGCATATGCGATACATACATATATATTA